CATAGAAAGGAAAACCAATGAGGCTGACATCAGACTTCTCCGAAGAAACACTACGGGCAAGGAGAGAGTAGAGGGACATAGTCAACAGACTCCAAGAAAACAAATGCCAACCAAGAATACTCTATCCCACAAAGATTTCCTTCCTCTATAAAGAAAGAATAAGGACAACAGACAAACAGAAAGTCAGGAATTTCATTACGACTAAACCCCCACTCCAAAAAATACTACGAGGAGTCCTAAAGTCAGAACCAACAGAGGGATGAATAAGAAAGAAACAAGATAAATAAATAAATAAATTCAAAATAAATAAATAAATAAAACCAGAGAAAAGACAAAATTGCAAATACAGACGCTAACATATCAATATTAACTCTAAATGTAAATGGACTCAACTCTTCAATAAAAAGACACAGAGTTGCACCTGGATTAAGAAACAACACTAATGATAAAGGACTGATCACAAAAATCTACAAAGAGCTGATGAGACTCAACAACAACAAAGAAAATAAATAAATAAATAAATAAACCTAGAAAACTTAAATAAGGGACCTGGAAAATGAATAACTATAAGAAAGTGAAAATCAAAGGGACCTGGAAAATGAATAACTCTAAGAAAGTGAAAATCAAAATCAACAAAAAACTATGAACCAGAGACACTCTATGGGAGGTGGGGCGCGGGGAGGGGAGGGATTGGGGTCAAAATAAGGGGGTTGCAATTGTATGGGGAATATAAAAATAAAATTTATTTAAAAAAAAAAAAACCCTCCCCAAAACAAAAGCCCAGGACCAGATGGATTTACAAATGAATTCTATCAAACATTCAGAAATGAATTAGTGTCTATCCTTTATAAACTCTTTCAATAAATTGAGAAGGAAGGGATAATACCAAACACGTTCTACGAAGTCAACATTATACAAATACCAAAACACAACAAGGACAACACAAAAAAGGAAAACTACTGGCCAATCTCTCTAACGAACACTGATGCAGAAATCCTCAATAAAAATTTTAGCAAGGACCTTCCCAGTGGTGTAGCGGGTTGAGCGCCATGCTGTGAATCTGTCCACAGCTTCTGCATCGCCAGTTTGATTTGCAGCCGGCCAGGGAGATACCCACATGGTGCAGTAGATCTCCTGTCTTGCCTGTTGCTCCCCTCAGCAGTGCTCTTGGTCCGTCTGTCTGTTCTGCTCCCCGCTCTGTCTCTGGTAAATCCTCTCACCCTCCCGCCACTCTGGCCTGTACCCCAGCTCTTGTACAAATAAAAATGAATCTTTTAAAAAAAAGGAAAAAAAAATGCAAGCTATCAGAATCCAACAATGTATCCATAAGATAATTCACCACAACCAAGTAGGATTTATTACAGGGACATAAGGATGGTTCAACATCTGAAAATCAATCAATGTAATCCAATACATCAACAAAAAGAAATATAAAAACCATATGATAATATCAATAGATAATGAGAAAGCTTTCGACAATGTACAGCACCCATTTATGATAAAGGCACTTGAAATTCTCAGGATACAAGGAACATACCTCAACATCATAAAGGCCATGACATATGACATATGACAAGCCCATAGGCAATGTCATTCTCAATGGTAAAAAGTTGTAAGCATTTCCATTAAGATCTGGAATAAAACAAGGACGTCCACTCTCACCACTAGTTTTCAATTTAATACTGGAAGTCCTAGCCAGAGCAGTAAGACAAGAGAAAGACATACAAGGAATCCAAATAGGGAAGGAAGAAATCAAACCTTCACTATTCACAGATGATATGATAATATACATAGAGAACCCCAAAAACTCCACAGGAAAACTAATCAAACTAATCAATCAGTTTAGTAAAGTAGCAGGATACAAAATCAACACACAAAAATCAATAGCCTTCCTACACACAAACAATCTGAAGAACAAGAAATCAAGAAAACCATACCTTTTATTAGAAACAAAAAAAAAAAATGAAATACTTGGGAATAAACTTAACAAAGGAGGGCCTCCCGGATGGCGCAGCGGTTGAGCGCTGGGTTGCGAAGCTGCCCGCGGCCTCTGCGGAGCCGGTTCGATCCCCGGCTGCTCCCCGGCCACCGGAGGAGGGTCCCACATGGCGCGCAGACCTCTCCTGCCGCCCGCTGCTCCCCTCAGCGGTGTACTTCGGTCCTTCTGCCTGCTCTGCTCCCCGCTCTGGCTCTGGCTCTGGTGAATTCTCTCACCCTCCCGCGCTCCTGACTGTACCCTGTGCTTGTATAAATAAATAAATAAATCTTAAAAAAAAAAAAAAAAAAAAAAAATTCTTTAAAAAAAAAAAAAAAAAAAAAAACTTAACAAAGGAGGTAAAGGACCTACACAAAGAAAACTATAAAACACTGTTAAAAGAAATAGAAGAAGACACAAAGAAATGAAAAGACATCCCCTGCTCATGGACTGGAAGAATTAACATTATCAAAATGGCCTTCTCACCAAAAGCAATTTACAGCTCAATGCTATTCCAATAAAAATTTCAATGACATTCTTGAAAGAAATAGAACAGAAATTGATGAAATTCATATGGAGCCACCAAAAACCCTGAATAGCCAAAGCTCTCCTGAAAAAAAAAAAGAAGGGAATGGAGGCATTACAAGCCCAGATTTCAAACTATACTACAAAGCCATAATAATCAAAACTGCATGGTATTGGAACAAGAACAGACACACAGACCAATGGAACAAAAAAGAAAATCCAGAAATAAACCCACAGATTTATAGTCAATTAATTGACAAAGGAGCAAAGAATATGCAATGGAACAAAGAAAGTTTGTTCAATAAATGGTGCTGGGAAAACTAGGTCACTACATGCAAAAGAATGAAGCTTGACTTCATTCTTCAAGCTTGACTTCACACCATGCATAACAACCAACTCAAAATGTATTAAAAAGCTAGACATAAGACCTGAAACCATACAATACATAGAAGGAAATAAAGGCGAAATACTACATGACATATACCTCAGTAACATCTTTAAAGACTCATCACCAAAGCAGTGATAGTGAAGGCAAAGATAAACAGCTGGGACTACATCAAATTAAAGAGCTTCTGCACAGCAAAACAGACAGTAACCAAAATAAACAGACACCCCACAGACTGGGAGAAAATTTTCCCACACAACACTAATGATAAGGGACTGATAACAAAAATCTAAAAGAGCTGAAGAGTCTCAACAAAAACAAAGTAAATAATCCAGTCAAAAAATGGGCAGAAGAGCTAAAAAGGAACTTCTCTGAAGAGGAAATGTGAATGGCCAACAGGCATATGAAAATATGTTCAGCATCACTTGCAATTAGGGAAATGCAAATCAATGAAAATCAAAACTACAATGAGATTCCATCTCACACTAGTAAGAATGACACATATTGAAAAAACTAGCAACAACAAATGTTGGCAAGGATATGGAGAAAAAGGAACTCTCCTGCACTGCTGGTGGGAGTGCAAAATGGTCCAACCACTATGGAAAGCTGTGTGGAGATTCCTCAACCTGCTAAAGATGGAGCTTCCATATGACCCAGCAATTCCACTCCTAGGTATTTACCCAAAGGACACAGAAACATTAATTCCAAAGGGCACCTGCACCCCTATTTTTATAGCAGCACTATTTACAATAGGTAAGCTATGGAAACAACCCAAATGCCCAAAAATAGATGACTGGATCAAGAAGATGTGGTCCATATACACAATGGAATAGTACTCAGCAATCAAAAAAGATAAACTCATGTAATTTGCAGCAACATGGATGGAGCTGGAAGCAATCATGCTCAGTGAAATAAGCCATAAAGAAAAAGAAAAATACCGGATGGTCTCGCTCATAGCAGGAATTTAGAAAACCTAAATAAGGGATCAGGAAAAAGACTAATTATAATAAAGTAAAATCAAAATCAACAAGCAACTATAAGACAGAGACACACCTGGGGGGGCAGGAGGTGGGGTAGGAGGGATTATGGTCAAAATTATGGGGGTGGGAATTGTATGGGGACTATTACCAAGATGAAAAAGCATACATTGTGCAAAAATGAAAAATGATGTAAAAAATATATAAAATTAAAAAAAAAAAACAATGAATATACGTACACTATAGATACTGGTTAGAAACTGACCACTGCCAAAGATACACTGAAAACATCTTACATTTTAAAAAAGAAACCTATTGATTATGACAGTTGTTCCTTACTCCAGATTCTCCATATTCCATCTTTATTGAAGCTAAGGAATCTAAACCTATCTTAGGACATTGCAGAAATGCCTACCTGAGCTATGAATTGGTGAAAATTAGGTAAACTGCTAGGAAATCTTAGTTCTAGGGGAAATGTAAGTATATTATACTTTGTCAGCAGATGGTAAGTATGTGCCCCAAATGTTTTCTTTTTATGTTCTCAAAAACTCATTTTCCAACAACAGAAAGAGCTCTCCTTATTTGTTTGGTAATACTGATCTACTTCCAACTTGATTTATTTATTTTTTTTTTTTTTTAAAATAGAGGCATGTTTTATTTGTTTGTTTGTTTATACAAGCACTGGGTACAGTCAGAAGCGCGGGAGGGTGAGAGAATTCACCAGAGCCAGAGGGGGGAGCAGAGCAGGCAGAAGGACCGAAGTACACTGCTGAGGGGAGCAGCGGGCGGCAGGAGAGGTCTGCGCGCCATGTGGGACCCTCCTCCATGTGGGACCCTCCTCCGGTGGCTGGGGAGCAGCTGGGGATCGAACCGGCGCCGCAGAGGCCGCGGGCAGCTTCGCAACCCAGCGCTCAACCGCTGCGCCACTGGGGAGGCCCAACTTCCAACTTGATTTAAATAAGCCAGACAGGTCTGGTCAGCTTGACATCCTTTGCCTAATTAGCAAGCAAAACTCGAGAACTTAAAATAACGTAAGTTATCTTAGCTTTCAGTAAGAATTTCATGTTTCAAATCATTTCTAACTCTTTTCCCCTCTCTAGTAAGTAAGCTAAGCTAGTGTATCAAAATCAAGTCCTACCGGTACATCCTGATCCATCAAGTATGCGCCATGGCCTTGACTGATTGCTTGTTGGTATTCTCGCTGGGCTTCTTCCTTCTCTTTAATCTGGAAAAAATGATTTTTATACCAGTCATAAGTGATTTCAGACATTAATAAGGACAATTTCATCAATGTTTATTAAAAGCTTGACAAAAATAAAAGACAAAATAAGACTTTCTCATAATCATTGATTATATAATAATTAGATAAGTCATGTAACAGAATTTGAATTAGAGAAGGCCAACTAAAGAGAATTATCCTTAAGTGGGACCAAACTATTTCAGAGTCAATAGTGAAAAAAAAGTCTAGGACTTTATATAGAGCAAAAATAATTAGAGATTAAGTTTATCTTAAATTTAGTAAGATATGAGCTAAAGTCTTAACATGAAATGCTGCATGAGGGCTAAACCTTAGAATAAACAGAGAATAAACCAATTGTTAATTTTGTTGGTATAATTTTTCTTAAAAAGTTACAATAACTTCAGTTTGCTTCTGTAACAGCGTGCAGAGCATCAGTTTTTGCAAAAATATATAAGGGTATCCACTCTGTCTTACACTTTTGATATAAAATTCACTAATTTTTTACTGATGGAGACAAGGCAAGTAGGCACAGAAACAAGTTCATCAGGGAGTAATGTCTGAAAGGAGGATAATTGTGTAAGTGCTTGGTTATTCAAAGAAAATTTTTGTTTTGTGAAAAGGCCACTGCTCAGATAATGAGTTTGGGTAATTAGGAAATTGACTTTGAAACCAAAGAGCAATCACAATGCATTTTCTCCTCTTACCTCTCCTACTACATGCTTCCCATTGATGAATGCTTCAAAACCACACACAGCTGCCTTGTCATCCAAAGGAAAAATATATTTTGCCTCAATGGGTATGTGACTGTGATTTGTGTATGTCTGAAAAACAATGACCTGAAGAAAAAAATTCCATATAATAACGAAACCATATGGGACAACATTAATAGGGACAACTACTAATAAAACAATTACATTTTCTTAAAATTCATTAAATTTTTATCATGTCCCTCAAATTCCAAGAGGTAATTTTAGTGGCTGGAGACTTCTACCATTGCAATGTGAGTCCTGTCACATGATAAAATGCACAAGTGCTACTTAGGCAGTTCACACATGCCTAGTTGGAACAATTTAAGAGTTGTTAGAAGAATTACAAATACAAGTTTAAAAGAAGAATGAAGATTTCATTTAAAAGGCAGAAATTAAGATACTTTTATGTGTGGGTCTTGATGACTCCTTGGTATTATATGGATCCTGATACCATTCAAGAATTATTTTTTTTCCTTTTTTTATTTTTAAACAATATTTACTTCCCCCAACCCCTCACATTGAGTCCCCATAGAATTTCCTTCCCCAAGGCACCTGTGCACCATCACCACAGTCCCCTGTGCTTCTTCCTCCCTCCCTCTGATCCCTCTCCCTCCTCCTCCCCTGCAGTATGCCTCTGATTTATAATTGTCTGTTTTTGCTTTGTTATATTTGTACTGTTATTATTTTTTTTACACTGATGCCTTATTTGGTTCCCCTATATTCTTGTTATAAGTGAAACCATCCAATATTTTTCTTATTCCTTCTGGCTTATTTCACTGAGCATAATTCCTTCTAGCTCCATCCACATTGCTGCGAATGGCATGAGTTTATCTTTTTTTGATTGCTGAATAATATTCCATTGTGTATCTATACCACATCTTCTTGATCCAGTCATCTATTTTTGGGCATTTGGGTTGTTTCCAGGTTTTACCTATTATAAATAGTGCTGCAATAAACATAGGTGTACAGGTGTTCTTTCGAATGAATGTTTTTGTGTCCTTTGGGTAGATCCCTAGTCAAGAAATATTCTTATAGCCAATCTGTATTCAGGTCTTGGCATTTCCTCCTTTGCCTCTTTGCACATAGCCCTCTAGTGGCTTCTCTCATTTATCCTTCTCTCTCCCATGTAATCCACTCTTGAATCAAGCCTTTCTATTCCTGTCTGCTATCTCTATTGTTATTGGATTAATTTTTCTAAACAAACTGTTCATCACATATCACTTGCTCAGAAAAATGGTGGAGTCTTTAAATATTTGAAAAAAAACTTTACACATACAATAAACAGTAAAAACATAAACATATGGCAACAACAAAGCAAAAATATTGAACCATTTATAATCAGTAACATCTGAGAAAAGACCAAAATGAAAAATAAAAATCTAACATTCCAAATGCTATTCACAACTGGATTTACTGTAAGACAGGTGGCCCCTAGGGTGTGGGGGGCACCCGGCAATACTTTTGAGAGGCATCTGTCTATGTAAACAATCTGAGGGCCTCCCCTGGTGGCGCAGCAGTTGAGCGCTGGGCTGTGAAGCTGCCCGCAGCCTCTGCAGTGCCGGTTCGATCTCTGGCTGCCGGCGAGGGTCCCACATGGCGTGACAGACCTCTCCTGTCTTGCCTGCTGCTCCTCTTAGCAGTGTATTTCATCAAGTCTGCCTGTTCTGTTCCCAGCTCTGGCTCTGGTGAATTCTCTCACCCTCCTGCGCTTCTGACTGTTTATATACCCACTGTTTATATAAATAAATAAATAAATAATCAAATAAATAAATAAATAAATAAATAAAGTCTTAAAAAAAAAAAAAAACAATCTGAGTCAGCAAACAATCAGCTGACAATCAGCAGGTCAGCATCCTCCCCTGGACCAGACCTCCTACACTCCTACCAATGAAGGCCTCACTGGTCTGTGGCAGGAATTAGTCACAAGGCAGCTCCCCTGGAACTGTGGCCTGGTATGGCACAGATGATCCCACAGGTTTGAGTCCAGAGTTTTCTTGGGTTTCCAAGTAACCTGAGCAATAAGTCAAAGAACACCTGGCAGGGTGACTGACTGGGAGGACATCACGAGCTTTCCCATTGTGCACAAACTCCCTCTATTCCTCTCGGATATTTCTACCAAACCCCTCAAAGGCACATATGTTCAAGCTGTAACTGACTAGGATCACCAACTCATTGCATCTTGGTTTAGATTATTTTCAGCCTACTCTGTAGGTATCCTGCCTATATCCATTTAGTGGCCTCTCTTTAGGCCTATGAGTTCCCAGAGGTCAGTCCTATGTCAGCTATATTCTCTTTGTACATCAAATTATGTGACTGGACACTCACAAACTAAATCATTTCAGATAATGATGACAAAGTATTTTTACTAAGACTGGGAACAGCAACTAATACTGTAAAAATTTTTAGTATCTTTATTTTCCTCTTTTGGATGACACCATTATATAACGCAACTAAAAATACTAAGCTCATTCAAAGAGTCAAATGTATGAGCCGCAAACACACAGGTGCTGCTGGGCATCTGCCTAGATAACAAACTACAACTGGCTTACCACACAACTGTGGAAACTTCACTGCTAAATCCTGAGTTATTTTTTGAGTAATCATCCCCATCGAAAAAAAGTCTCACCAGGTGTGAAATATCAAATGGTTTAAGCTGTGTAATCCAAAGGAATATATAGAGGGGTATGTTTTTCAGGCCCAAACAAACATCATTTGCTTTGTATCTACTGTATATGAACACATTCATTATATCTAATAGGCAGATTATTATTTTTAATATTTTGCAGATACTATTATTTCCATTTTATACATGAGGAAAATTTCTTGAGCACAAAGAAATTAAATAATTTCCCTAGGGTCACAACACTAGAAAAGAATAGGTAAGGAAAAAAGTTAAGCCTTTTAAACTTCAAATCCTTTACCCTATAGAACCATAGGAGGTCACACAGTAGTTAAAAGCCTGGACTCTAACATCAGAATGGTCTGACCTCAAACTTGTGTTTTATCATACAGTTTAAATGTCTCTGAGCATCAGCTCCCCCATCTAAATAAGCAGCATAATTATAGTGCTTTTTCCATAATTTGGAAGAGAATTATATAAGACAAATGAAAAATTCAACTTGAGGTCTGACTCATAAGAAGTGATAACCAGGTGGTTACACCATTAAGTGGCTAGCAAGAGATTAGCACATACAGAACATTTCCCACAAGTCCACATCTGGACCTTCCCAAGTCTATAATAGTTCCCTGAGTTATTTTAGGGATATGGGTATGGATCCAAATGGGTCCAGGGGTTAGTGGTCAGATATATCTGAACAGGTATCAATATCATGGAGACCATGATCCTTCCTCCCCCCGTCCCATTTCCCAGTTTAAACTGATCACTAAAATTAACCCGATTTCCTTCTGATTTCATCTAATCCTTAGTTTGGTTTCTCCATATTCCATACATCAGTGACACCATCTGGTATTTCTCTTTCTCCTTTCATTTGCTTTCTTTTTTTTTTTTTTTTAAAGATTTATTTATTTATGCATACAAGAGCTGGAGTACAGGCCAGAAATGCAGGGGGTGAGAGGATTCACCAGAGACAGTGGGGAACAGAGCAGGCAGGCAGACTGAATTACACTGCTGAGGGGAGTAGTGGGCAAGTCAGGAGAGGTCTGCTGCGCCATGTGGTTGCTCCCTGGATGGCTGGGGATCGAACTCGTCCTGCAGAGGCTACAGATTGCTTCATAGTGCGGTGCTTAACCCCTTCTGCCACCAGGAAGGCCCTCCATTGGCTTTCTTCTGGAGGGACAGGAGCTACCACAATCCTGGACTCAGGTGTTCTTATTTTCCTAAGGTGTCTTTATAGCTGTTCAATGCAGTCTTTAGCGTCAAGAGAGCCAATTTGAGGCCAAATCTTAAAAGACAAATTCAATTTAAGAAAACTGGGAACACTCCAAGCTGGACCACCACATCTGACCATCTATTTGCTCATGTGCCCATGAACTTATTAATCTCTGTCCTGTGTTCACGGACGAATCAGCTGCAAGCCAACCCATGGTCACCCACTGTACCTAATGATTAGTTGGCATCTTCTCCTACCTACAAGAAGATGGATTTCCAGCAACTTTCCCCTCTCATGGATCATCAGTTTTTCTCCCCTGTACTGACTCACATACATGCTTTGATTTCTTAGATTTTGAAAGAAAAACACAAAATGCTCTGACCCAACTTCTCTACAGGTACTATCCCACTGTCTCTCCTGTGTTTCCAAATTCTTTCCTCCTGTCTCTATTGAACTCACATTAGTTAAGCTTTCACCCCCACCATTCCATGGACAAGGTGATTGTCTCTCTCTCCCTACATGTCTATGCTCAGATTTCACTTTTTCATGAGATTTTAACTAGCCATTGTATCAACAAGTTCAAACACCTTTCTCTTATGCAGTTCTTATCTCTTACTGCTTCTAGAACCAATAACCATCTAATGTATTCTGTATTTTATTTATCATTTTTATTGCCTAGTTATCAAACACAATGCATCCTCTATGAGAGCAGAGTTTTCTTGTTTATTGCTGAGAGCCTAGAACCGAGAGCCTAGAACAGTGCCTGGCCTAGAGTAGGTGCTCAAAGAATAAACAAATTTTAGAAATGCATGTTTTTTTTTAGTTTATGTATCTGTAATCAAATTCTCACTTATGATTTATATCTGTTCAGTTTAAGTACTGAGAAGTGACAAAGAGCATACCTGGGCTACAAAGTCTATTATTTTTCCCTTGATGTGAACATCCTCAAGAGGAACCAAGTTCCCAGAAGTGTCCCGAAGGCCGGCCTTAATGTCGCTGTCAGGTTTGCTGTCTGATAACTGATAATCTACATATTAAAAATATCAATGTTAGCTTTTAAATCTATCCATGTACAATATGTTTTTGTTACTATAATACAAAGGAGAGAATAACTCCTTCCTTTCGTACGTTTTATTTTAGGAAAAATGGGAAAAAAACATATTACGGTTTTTAGTGGTCAAAAGTAAGTAAACCCAAGTAACTATCAACAAACACTCTGCTTTTTTAATTGAGAGACTGGGGGCATCATCTTGAAAGCTGAGAGTCATGCTGTTACTTGAAAGACATATTTTAATATATATTCAGGTACATTAAAGTCTCGAGAAAATCTAAATAAATATAGCTTAAGTATGGATCTAGGTATCTGCATCCCCTGATTTTTTCATTTTTAATTGATTGGTTATTACTATTTATTGTGCCACAAACACACTGTTTGAACAACATAAGACTCACTAGACTTTCAATCCAAGAAAGACTAAGCTAAAATCCTAATGTAGCATCTGGAAGAATGTTCACATACTATACTGAGGGATATAAAAATACAGATATGGTGAGAATTATAAATATATACCTTCCTGTTATACATTTCATTTAATAACACCCAGAGGGAAAAAAAGAGTCACCTTGAACATACATGAAGTAATGCATTTTTGATAAAAATAATGCAATCACAGTTGAAATCATTAATGTATTTTTACAATGTTATTGACTTATTTTTGATTCATTCACTCATATTATTTTTACTCATCTGATTTTCTGAGAAGAAATTACCTATCATCCTCTCAGATATATGTACTACTACATTATTACAATTTTGGGACTTCTTTCACTTATTACAGATATTGACATCATCTCATCTGAGAAAAGCTGAAACCTGGAAAAGATATATACATCTGTTCAAGATTGCAAAGCCTAGTAAGTGCCATTGACACGTGCACTAAACTTCATTCTAAAGCTGTATCTTCTGTTGATACTGCCAACTTCCATTTTATTTTCTGCATTTGACATCTCAAATTGGCTTAGTGAGTTTTATTGTTGGATATCACGAGGTGGACGAGTTCAACTTAGGTGTGTTAATGAAGTAATATGTAATTTTGAGCTCATTTAACCTCACTTAAGCACACTAGTTTTAATTTTTACAAAATAAAAAAATGAAATATATATAAGACAAAATAGTTACCAAATATGAATATAAATTCCATGGAAAATATAATATTTGAGTTCAACTAATATGATAAAAGACAAAATTCAAGAAAATTGTCTTACCTTCAACCTCTGAAAAACTTGAAGACTCAGGTCTGTATTCTTCTAATTCAGTATTATTACAAGGGTCAAAGTACTTTATTTCATCTCCAGGTACACAAAATTTAACTATATATTTCATTTTAACCTGATTAGTTTTATATACAACAAATTCATCATCCTAGAACAAAGAGAAATTAATAGGTGGCAAATAAAAACAACCACACTTTTTTGGCAAATGGTTTCATAAAAGGAGAATTTCATGTTTGCTAATTTAGAAAGTACGGAATTCAGAAAGTGTATAGACAGTGATTATTTAAACTAAAGCTATTAAATAAAAACAGGAGTATCTCTGCCCGTTTCTTGATAGTAATACCTCAAAGTCTGTGGTGATTGTGGCTGTTCCTCGAACCCCATGCACACTGTCATAACCCAGGGGTGCTTCTATCAAGGAAATGTCTTTCTTGTGTAAGTCCATGCACTTCCCGAGGCTTACATCACAGATGACCAAGAGTCTACTGCCATCTATCTCTCCTGGGTGTGAGTACTTAATACTTGCACTGCATGTAAAAGAAAATAAGCACATATTTATAATTTATATTTACATAGCAATATGATTTCATTACATACATATGAAATATTGTATAAAAGATTTTGTGGGTGCATTGTTCTGAAATTTTCTGTTACTAAAATATCTCTGAAGATTTGATTTAGAGTTTTTTTTTTTGTTTTTTTTTTTGTGGGACCCTCGCTGGTGGCTGGGGATCGAACTGGCGCTGCAGAGGCTGTGGGCAGCCTCACAACCCGGCACTCAACCGCTGCACCACCAGGGGAGGCCCCTTGATTTGGAAATTTATTATTCATTAATTTATTTAAAAATTTTATGTAAGAACACTATACAAATGATCCTTGAAAAACACAGGGGTTATAGGTGCTGACTTGCCATGCAGTTGAAAATCTGTATAAACTTTTGACTCCTCCAAAACTTTACTATATAGTCTGCTGTTGTCCAAAACCTTGTTGATAACATAAACAGTCAATTAATACATATTTTGTACATCATATATATCATATACGTATTTTTACAATGAAGTAAGCTAGAGAAAAGAAACTGTTATAAAGAAAATCGTAAGAGTTTCACATATACCACAAAGCTATAGTAATAAAAACAGTATGGTTATTGCAATGAAAATAGACACATGGAACAATGGAATAGAATTGACAGTTCAGAAATAAACCCACCTTTATATTTCCAATTAATCTATAACAAAGGAGCCAAGAGTGTACCATGGAGAAAGGAATGTCCCTTCAGCAAATGGCATTGGGAAAACTGGACAGTTACAGGAAAAAAATTAAACTAGACTACTCTAATACCATACACAAAAATTAACTCAAAATATGTTAGAGACCTGGATATAAGACTGGAAATCACAGAAGAAAACCACTGAAACATGTACTGGGGAACTTGACTCAAAAAGGAAGAGAAACAAAAGCAAAAATAAACAAATGGGACTACATCAAAATTTAAAAAGCTTCTGCATGACAAAAGAAACTATCATTAAAATAAGAGATACCACACCAAATATGGGAAAAATATTTGCATATCATTCATCCAACAAGGGGTTAATATCTAGAAAGAACTCATAAAACTAAATAAAAGGAGGTGCGCAGACCTCTCCTGCCGCCCGCTGCTCCCCTCAGCAGTGTACTTCGGTCCTTCTGCCTGCTCTGCTCCCCGCTCTGGCTCTGGTGAATTCTCTCACCCTCCCATGCTTCTGACTGTGCCCAGTGCTTGTATAAATAAATAAATAAATCTTTAAAAGAAAATAAATAAATTTAAACTCTTAAAAAAAAAAAAAAAAAAAACTAAATAAAAGGAGAAAAATCACCCAATCAAAAAATGGGCAGAACTAAAGACACTTCTCCAAAAAAGACATTCAGATGGCCAACAGGCACATAAAAATTGCTCACCATCATTTAACATCAGGGAAACACAAATCAAAACCACAATGAGATACCACCAAAAAGACCAGAAATAAGTGCTAGTGAAGGTGTAGAGAAAAAAGTCTACACTATATAGATTAGTCCAGCCCTTATAGAAAACAGTATGAAGGTTCCTCAAAATACTAAAAATGGATTTATCATACAATCCAGCAATTTCACTCCTCAGTATCTAGCCAAAGAATGGAAAAACACTAATCTGAAAGGATTTTTGCACTGCTGTGCTCACTGCAGCACATCATACATCCTTGGCTATTTACAATAGCCAAGTTATGGAAACAATCCAAGTGCCCAACAAAAGATGAATGGATTAAGAAGATAATGTATATAACACAATGGAATCCTACTTAGCTATAAAAAATAAGATGAAACCTTGCCATTTGTGACAACATGGATAGAAGTGGATGAGAGCACAAATAGGCCTCTTGTAAAACCTGCACAAACAGGCACCAGGGAACCTGAGATAAATTGAATCAGAGATAAAGTTGACAAGAATAAACAACTCCAGCAGACCCCCTCCAGCAGAAGACACCCCTTCATGTACACCAAAAATTGCAGCAGTCGCCTAATACTATGAAGACCCGCTCTCCCCATTTTGGGGCATGACTCTTGGCCTGCAGAGAGTTGTCCCTCATGGACTTTCAATAAAGTCTGATACTCTTGGCCTCCTTTCTTTTCTAACAGTGGAGGAGCTTATGCTGAGTGATACAACTAAGTAGGAGATAAATAGTGGATTATTTTGCTCATATGTGGAACATAAATAAATACATAAAGAGCAATCAAAAGCAAACCAATACAAACTCCAGAAATCTGACTATATATCTGAAGCTACTGGGTTGGGGGGTATTCTGGAAATTAAAAAAAAGAGGGGAAGGGGCCCCATGGACTATGGTGAAGAATTACAGGTGCTCAGGTATGAACCTATTTCCCTAAATTATATATATTGCTATAAGTTGTTACCTCAATAAAAAATGATACAACTGAAAAACAACTAAATATTAAAAAAAAGCAAGTCATGGGCCTCCCTGGTGGTGCAGGGATTAAAGATACAGCGCTATCAATCTATCTGTAGCCACTCCTGTTTGAGTATGTTGCCCCGCCAGCCAGGGAGCTAACACACATGGTGCAGCAGACCTCTCCTGTCTCCCCAGCTGTTCCCCTCAACAGTATATTTCAGTAGATCCGCCTGTATTGTTCCCTGCTCTCTGGTGAATCCTCTTACCGCCCCCCTCCCCACACCTCTGGCCTGTACCCCAGTTCTTGTATGCATAAATAAATCTTTAAAAAAAAAAGCAAGTCGTGAGAAAGATAAAATTCATTTACATTAATACAATGTATTTATCAATACCATAAGTTTATGCCATCTGTTTATAAGAATATTCAAGTATAAATGGACCCATGCAGTTCAAAACCTTGTTGTCAAGGGTCCATTGTATTGCCCTTCTATTGTGCTAGATAGTGCTCAAAGCACTTTGCTCCCAGGAAGGTATGAATTCCCAGGAAGGTATATACATTTATTTATAACTATATATATATGTACATATAATAAATTGTTTAGAATGGATGTGGAAAAGGACAAATAGTTACAAAAATATACACACATTGTTATAGTAAACACCAGAGTGGGGAAAGAGAAGGAAAAAAAACCCCACTTTATTAACTAGGAAAAGGTATTGAATAAATTTAATTTTTGGCATTAAAGTTCAGAAAAACAGCAAATACCAAGTCAGTAAGACCTGGTCAAAGGAAACAACATGTATTGTCATGAAGCCTTCTGAATCCAAATGGAAAGCCAAAAATTTCAAATGACACCCAAATGAGAGATTTTGTTTCAACTTTCTGCAGGAATCAGCAGCTTTAATAACTCGCTATTAGGAGTATATGATGGGACATCTTTGGAAGCAACATTCTGGGGTCATGTTATCTATTTTTCCTAAGATCCAGACCAAAATGCAAGTGTTGCCTGCCAATTCCTTGTTCTGTCCCCCTGTTTCTATGTTCTCCTACTCCTGTGTTCCCCTTCTGTGAGCTCTTTCCCTGTAACCTACAAACATTCTTAATTCCTCTCCATCAAGTCTTTTTTTTTTTAACAACATTTTTTTAAAAAAGATTTATTTATTTATTTACACAAGCACTGGGTACAGTCAGAAGCGCAGGAGGGTGAGAGAATTCACAAGAGCTAGAGCGGGGAACAGAACAGGCAGACCGATGAAATACACTGCTGATGGGAGCAGTGGGCGCAGCAGGAGAGGTCTGCACGCCATGTGGGACCCTCGCCAGTGGCCGGGGATTGAACCTGCGCTGCTGAGGCTGTGGGCAGCTTTGCAGCCCAGAGCTCAACCGCTGCACCATTGGGCAGGCCCCCCCATCAAGTCTTGATCCTTGAACTTTGCCCTCTGGCCTTCTCCTTCTATGTCTCACCACACTGCCCACAGAGTCCAATGACTCCCTGAAACACTCTTGAAAGCACTGTTAAAAAAACTTCAATTTGGTTAAATTCAACTGAATTCAATTCAGTTAAAAAATATTTGAATGTTTAAAAATTTTTACCTTGAAATATGTTGTGCATAGGAAAAAGTTTAAGAAATAGAAGATGATCAATATTTCTATATCCTTTCATCACACCTTCCTTACCATCCAGAAGTAATCTAAGCATTATTTTCTTTCTTTTATAGTATTGACACATGGTATCTGACCCTCAACAATATGTTTAGTTTTACTTATTTTTGAACTTTGCACATTGAGAAAGACAAACAGTAATTTTTGCTCCATGCTATGTTCCTATGCCTCATCCACTTAACATATGTAACCCTTGTGCATTTTTTAAACTGCCACACAGGACTTCCTGTAGTACTGCAGCAAAATGTATTGGTTATTCCTCTGTAAATGTCAGTGGCCAGAGAGCCGGAGGGTGAGAGAATTCACCAGAGACAGAGCAGAACAGGCAGACGACCAAAAACACTGCTGAGAGGAGCAGTGGGAGAGACAGGTGAGGTCTGCTGCGCCATGTTGCTATGTCCTTGACTGGCTGGGAATCAAATCCACACTGCAGAGGCTGCGGGCAGCTTCATAGTGCTGCACTCAACTTGCGGCGCCACTGGGGAGGCCCCATCATTTACAGTGTTCTTTTTACTAGTATTCTCAGCAATTCCTGTACATGGTCTATATAATGCTAGGGTTTTTCTAAGGCAATGATTCTTGATCTCAGTAGCATATTATAATCATCCAGAGAGCCTAAAAATTATAGATAACTAAGCCTCACCCCTAGATATACTGATTTAATTGATGTGGGGTGATATCAGCACTGGTAGTGTTTAAAACTGTCCCAGATAATTAAATGTGCAGCCAGTTGACACAACTGAAGGAGTCTGGTTGGGCACCCCCAAGTGTCCCTGAAAGCTCCCCACGAGCTGGGTATTTCACCATAGCCAGGATGGTGGGTGGTTTCACTTTCTTCCTTTTTGCCTTTCCCACAAAAAAAAAAAAAGGAAAGAAAGAAAGAAAAGAAAATATAATGACAGCCAAGACTGAGAACCACTGCTTCCTGGTTCACAGGCTAATTAATCACAGGACTCCTAAATCCTACTATCAACTGTGTTCTTCATACCAGATAATGCCATACTTTTTCAAGAAGGTTTATCAATTTATACACTTACCAACAGTGTTTGAGAGTTCAGATTGTTCTAGAGACTTAGCAACACTTAGGTATGTTAAACTGTTTTTTGTTAATACGATAGGTGTAAAATGGTATCATTATAGTTTGATTTGTATGTTTTTAATTACTAATCTTTTCAAATGGTATTGTCCATACATGTTTTCTCTTCCATTAGGCTCCTATTCATGGCTTTTTCCCACTTGCTTATTAGGTTATCTTTTTCTTACTTATTTGTAGGAATTCTTTGAATAACCTAGATAATTATCATTGGTCCTGGGGCCTGAACCAAGGTTACTTAGCTTCATGAGACTTTTTCTTTTCACAAAATGAAATTGTAAGGTTTACCAATTGTGAGGTTTATAGACAATATACTTGAAGCACTTAGCCTGGCCAGGCCATGTATTCAATAATGCATGAAGAGGAGAAATTTAAATATTAATGAGAATAACAAAGATATTACTCTAGGCATACAGAGTTGCATATATACACGTACATGTATATACTTATAAATATATAAATATGTACATTTATTTATAACTACATATGTACATATAATAAATTGTTTAGAATGGATGTGGAAAAGGACAAATAACTAGTGTGACACTAGACAATATATATTCATGGTCTTTTGGTGTTATCTGTGATATGAGAAAACAACAGGACTTATCTCAGGAGGTTGTTGTAAGGATTTAGTGGGTAAGTATATGTAAAAGCTCTTAAGATAGCAAAATATGCAATTTCAAATATAATTTTCCCAAATATCCACCACAAAAAACAAGCTTTTATAGCATACTGACCAAACTTTCAATGATCTGTTTCTTGGGTGAGGAATCACTCACTAAGCAAAAACAGGAAAACACAAAGTACTCAATAATGATTCCTGGATTTTGGGTATGAGTAACATGAGTAAGAATATGACATACAAACCTGAATGAATCACTGAAATACATTCCACTCCCAAGATTTCCAATGTCTGTTCTTTTCACACCACGATCTTCAACTGTTTTGGGTAAAAGCAACCCACTAAAAAGAAAAGGCCATTATAATCATTTGCTAGGAAAAAGGGACTTATATTACAGCCTCATAATTTTAACAGGACAGGTGCCATTTAAGGAAATTAAGCTACATGAAAAAAGCTAGATACTAAAAGATAAACACTGTATGACCTGACTTACACATAGAATCTAAAAAAGTCAAAAAGGTAGTTTCTAGATACTAGGGAGATGTTGGTCAAAGGGTACTAAATTTTCAGCTATAAGATAAATAAGCTCTGGAACTTATTTATTATTAGAGTTCTGGAGCTCTAATGAACAACATATTGATTGTAGTCAATAATACTGTATCATATACTTGAAATTTGCTAAGAGGATAGATTTTGTATTCTCATCACAAGTGCTGTAACTCTGTGCAGTGGTGGATGTGTTCATTAACTTGATTGTGGTGATCATTTCACAATGTATCACATCTTTAACAAAATCAGTTTTACAACGTAAACATACAATTTTTGTCAATCAAATCCCAATGAAGCTGCAAAAAAATAAATATACCAACTAAAGAAATAAATAAATAGCATGAAATGAAAAGAAAAATGTATTTCAAAGTAATCAACAGAAGGAGTTCCAGGTGCCATTTAGTACTTAGTACTAAATGTAGGTATACAGCAGGTTTCTCATCACTGTCTTGACATGCCCTGGGCAGCCTGCCAATTTTCCTGCCTCAAGGCGCATCTGCCTCCTTTAGGCAGAAGCCACCTGTACCCAGAGGAACAATCTTTAAGCTCAATACTGGCTGTATTTCTCCCCTGCTCAAAAACGTATGCAGGTTCCACTGGTCTTCCAGCATTAAAAGAATCTCCCACAGAGTTAAACATGTTTATCTCTATGAAGGCAGTAAAGTGAGACTTCTGTATTTTGTTACATAAACATATAGTTTGAATTTTGTATTATGAGATGAAATTAATTTTGTGTATTGGCTTTCAGTTTTAGTTCTGCTTAGAAATGGCATTCCTACGCAAACACTGTTTTTAAAAAATTCTCCCATTTTCATTTAGTACCTTTATATTTTTATTTTAATATTTATAAATCTCTGTTGCAGGTGGGGTTTATTTATTTTTATTTTATTATCTATAATTCTTACATCATTTTTCATTTTTGCACAATGTATGCATTTTCATCTTGGTTATAGTCCCCATATTATTCCCACCACCCCCCCTTGGAACCATAGTGTATCCTCCTCCCTCCTCCCCCTGTAGTGTATCTCTGGTTTATAGTTGCTTGTTGATTTTGATTTTTACTTTAATATAGTCTTTTTCCTAGTCCCTTATTTAATTTTCTAAATTCCTGCTATGAGTGAGACCATCTGGTATTTTTCTTTTTCTTTCTGGCTTATTTTGCTGAGCGTGATCCCTTCCAGCTCCATTCATGTAGCTGCAAATGGCATGAGTTTATCTTTTTTGATTGCTGAGTACTATTCCATTGTGTATATGGACCATATCTTCTTGATCCAGGAATCCATTTTTGGGCATTTGGATTGTTTCCATAGTTTAGCTATTGTAAATGGTGCTGCTATAAACATAGGGCGCAGGTACCCTTTCAAATTAATGTTTCTGTGTCCTTTGGGTAAAATCTTTTAGATTTTTGTGATCAGTCCTTTATCATTAGTGTTGTGTGCAAAAATTTTCTCCTAGTCGGTGGGGTTTCCCTTTCTTTTGGTTATTATCTCTTATGCTGTACAGAAGCTCTTTAATTTGATGTATCTTTTCCTTCACTATCACTGCTTTGGTGATGTGTCTGTAAAGATGATTTTGAGGTGCATGTCATGTAGTGTTTCACCTATATTTTCTTCTACATATTTTATGGCTTCAGGTCTTATGTCTAGTTATTTAATACATTTTGAGTTGGTTTTTGTGCATGGTGTGAGGTAGTAGTCAAGCTTCATTCTTTTGTATGTAGCAACCCAGTTTACCTAGAACCATTTATTGAACAAACTTTCTTTGTTTCATTGCATATTCTTTGCTCCTTTGTCAAAGATTAGCTGACTGTAAATCTGTGGGTTTATTTCTGGATTTCCCATTCGGTTCCATTGGTCTGTGTGTCTGTTTTTGTTCCAATATCATGCAGTTTTGATTATTATGGCTTTGTAGTATAGTTTGAAATCTGGGAGTGTGATGCCTCCATTCCCTTCTTTTTTCTTCAGGAGAGCTTTGGCTACTCAGGGTTTTTGGTGGCTCCATATGAATTTCATCAATTTCTGTTCTATTTTTTTAAAGAATGTCATTGAAATTGTTATTGGAATAGCATTGAATCTGTAAATTGTTTTTGGTGGGAAGGCCATTTTGAAGTTAATTCTTCCAATCCATGAGCAAGGGATGCCTTTCCATTTCTTTGTGTCTTCTTCTATTTCTTTTAAGTGTTTTATAGTTTTCTTTGTATGGTTCCTTTACCTCTTTTGTTAGGTTTATTCCCAAGTATTTGACTTTTTTTCTTTTAATAATAAAAGGGATGGTTTTCTTGATTTCTTCTTCTTCAGATTGATTGTGTGTAGGAAGGCTACTGATTTTTGTGTGTTGATTTTGTATCCTGTTACTCTAATAAACTGATTGATTAGTTTGATTACATTTCCTGTGGAGTTTTTGGGGTTCTCTATGTATATTATCATATCGTCTGCAAATAGTGATAGTTTGACTTCTTTCTCCCCTCTTTGGATTCCTTGTATGTCTTTCGCTTGTCTTATTGCTCTGGCTAGGACTTCCAGTATTATATTGAAAAGCAGTGGTAAGAGTGGACATCCTTGTCTTGTTCCAGATCTTAATGGAAATGCTTTCAACTTTTCACCATTGAGAATGACATTAGCTATGGGCTTGTCATATAGGGCCTTTATGATGTTGAGGTATGTTCCTGAGATTTCAATGTCCTTTATCATAAATGGGTGTTGTGCTTTGTCAAAAGCTTTCTCAGCATCTATTGATTTTATCATATGGTTTTTTATATTTTTTTGTTGATGTGTTGGATTATACTGATTGACTTTCGCATGTTGAACCATCCTTATGTCCCTGGAATAAATCCTACCTGGTTGAGGTGAATTATCTTATGGATACATTGTTGGATTCTGATAACTAAAATTTTATTGAGGATTTTTGCATCAATGTTCATTAGAGAGACTGGCCTGTAGTTTTCCTTTTTTTGTGTTGTCCTTGTTCGGTATTGATATTAGTGTAATGCTGGCTTCATAGAACATGTTTGGTATTATTCCTTCCTTCTCAATTTTTGAAGGAGTTTGTGAAGGATAGGCACTAGTTTGTTTCTGAATGTTTGATAGAATTCATTTGTAAATACATCTGGTCCTGGGCTTTTGTTTAGGGGGAGGGTTTTGACGACCATTTCAAGTTCACTGCTTGTAATTGGTCTGTTTAGGTGTTCTATTTCTTCTTTATCTAGCTTTGGGTGATTGTAGAGTTTTAGGAATTTGTCCATCTCTTCTAGATTGTTGAACTTGGTTGCATGTAACTGTTCATAGTAGTTTCTGATTATTCTTTTGATTTCTGCTGTGTCTGTTGTGATTTCTCCTCTTTCATTTGTGATCCTAGTTATCTGTGCTTTCTCCTTTTTTTCCTTTGTGAGCCTGGCTGGGGGATTGTCTATTTTATTTGTTTATTCGAAGAACCAACTTTTGTTTTCATTGATTTTTTAGATTGTGTTTTTAATTTTGATTTGATTTATTTCTGCTTTGATTTTTATCATTTCTTTTCTTCTACTGGTTTGAGGGATTTTTTGTTGTTCTTTTTCTAGTTCTTTGAGCTGTGAGATTAGGTTGTTTGAGTTCCCGCTTGTTTCTTGATGTGAGCTTGTATTGCTATATACTTTCCTTTTATTACTGCTTCTGCTGCATCCCATACATTTAGGAAAATGGTATCCTTTGTCATTCAACTTGAAGTATTTTTTAATTTCTTCTTTGATCTCACTGGTCCAGTGATCTTCCAGTAGTGTGGGTTTCAATCTCCTTGAGGTAGAAGAGTTCCTTGCCTTCTTTTTATGGTTTATTTCTAGTCTGATGCCTTCATGGTCAGAGAAGATGGTTGGTATGATTTCAATATTGGTGTATCTGTTGATGTTTGTCCTGTGTCCCAGTATGTGATCAATCCTGGAGAATGATCTGTGTGTGCTTGAGAAAAATGTATACTCAGATTTTGGGGAGTTTAGGGTTCTATAGATGTCTGTTAGCCCAAGAGGTCTAGATCCTTATTTAGAGCTTTAGTGTCCTTACTTATTTTTTGTCTCATTGATCTATCCATTGTTGATAGTGGTGTGTTGAAGTCTCCTACTACATATGTGTTTTCTCAGATGTCTGTTTTCAGAGATGATGATAGTTGTCTGATGTATTTTGGTGCTCCTTCATTTGGTGAATATATGTTAATGAGTGTTATTTCTTCTTGAAGTATTTCCCCTTGATCATAATGTAGTGACCGTCAGGATCTCTTTTTACCTTTTTGAGTTTGAAATCTGTTTTATCTGATATAAGTATAGCTGTTTCTGCCTTCTTTTTTGATCGATTTGTTGTAGGATTGTTGTCCATCCTTTTACTTTCAGTCTGTTTTTATCTTTTGTAGTTAAATGTGTTTCCTGGAGACAGCAAAAGGTTGGGTTTTGTTTCTTAATGCAGGCTGCGACTCATTGTCTTTTTATTGAAGAGTTGAGTCCATTTACATTTAGAGTTAATATTGATATGTTAGCGTATGTATTTGCCATTGTGTTTGTCTTTTCTCTGGTTTTATTTATTTATTTAGATTTATTTATTTATTTGTTTATTTATTTATTTGTCTTGTTTCTTTCTTATTCATCCCTCTGTTGGTTCTGGCTTTAGGACTCCTTGTAGTATTTTTTGGAGTGGGGGTTTAGTCGTCATGAAATCCCTGACTTTGTTTGTCTGGGAAGGTCCTTATTCTTTCTTCATAGAGGAAGGAAATCTTTGAGGATAGAGTATTCTTGGTTGGCATTTGTTTTCTTGGAGTCTGTTGATTATGTCTCTCCACTCCCTCCTTGCCCGTAGAGTTTCTTCGGAGAAGTCTGATGTCAGCCTCATTGGTTTTCCTTTCTGTTATCTGTTTCTTCCCTCTTGATGTGAGCTTCATTATTTTTTCCTTGTCTTAGATTCTGGGGAGCTTTACTGTTATGTGTCCTGCTGTATTTTTCCTATCCTCATGTAAGTTTGATGTTCTTCTTGCTTCTTGTATGTCTATTTTCAGCTCCTTGTTCATGTTTGGGAAGTTCTCTTCAATTATTTCCTTGAAAATTTTCTCTGTTCCTATGTCTCTCTCCTCTCCTTCTGGGATTCCTATAACTCTTATATTTCCTTTCCTCATGTAGTCAGATAATTACTGAAGTCTTTCTTCATTCTTTTTCATTTGTAGTTCTCTTTTTTAATTTAAATTTTATTTTTATATTCCCCATACAATTACAACCCCCTTATTTTGACCCCAATCTCTCCTTTCCCCACCCCCACCCCCTACAGAGTGTCTCTGATTCATAGTTGTTTGTTGATTTTGATATTTTCTTTCTCATAGTTATTCTTTTTCCTGGTTCCTTATTTAATTTTTCTAGATTCCTGCTATGAGTGAGACCATCTGGTATTTTTCTTTTTCTTTCTGGCTTATTTCGCTGAGCACGATCCCTTCCAGCTCCATCTATGTTGCTACAAATTGTATGTGTTTTTCTTTTTTAAATGCTGAGTAATATTCCATGGTGTATATGTACCACATCTTCTTGATCCAGTCATCTATTTTTGGGCATTTGGGTTGTTTCCAAAGCTTAGCTATTGTAAATAGTGCTGCTATAAACATAGGGGTGTAGGTGCTCTTTGGAATTGATGTTTCTGTGTCCTTTGGGTAAATACCTAGGAGTGGAATTGCTGGATCATATGGAAGCTCTATGTTTAGTAGGTCAAGAAATCTCCACACAGCTCTCCATAGTGGCTGGACCAGTGTACTTCTTTCCTTTTCTGTTTTGGTTCTTTTTATTTCTGTGTCTTCGGGAGTACTTATTCATTCTTCCATTTCATCTATTCATTCTTTCATTCATCCATTTCCTCTGCTTTCACTGCTTTTTCCAGGAGTTCTTTAGCTCCTGAATTAATCCTTTGATCTCCTGCATTTCTTTCACTTTCCTCTTTAGAGACTCAATTTCATTCTTCTGATCGTTGATGTAGTTTTTCTTCTCCATGCTGCTTGTTTTCTAATTTGTCCTATGCGTTGGGACACTGTGTTGCTGGTACTGGCCGGTATCTTTTTGGTGGGCTCTTTCTGGGATGTCGGGAACTGGTGGTCCAATAAGAGTCAAATACTATAATTCCAGAAGTCCAGTAGGGCAGCGGTACTATGAATATGTTAATGGTCACTGTCACAGAATATCTCCTCCTTCTGTATTTGTTTAATTCCAATGTGGGTCTTGAGGTCACACAGACTGCCAGGCAGTGATAGGATCCCCCTCTGGGCTCTGACTGGTGGCCAGAAGGGGCCTGGACTGTGGGCGATTTTCATCTCACCTCTGGCTATGGGGGCAGCCTTTTTCCAGCTCCAGGCAGTCTAGTTGTGTTACGGATGGATGCAATGTCCCTGGTCTAAAATGGCATGTTGGGTGGGCATTTCCCTGCACTCACAGTCTAACCTGGTGGTGACTGGATGCCCCTTTGGGCTCCGACTGATGTCCAGACGGGGCCTGGCTTGTGGGGGTTTTTCAGTTCACTTCTGGCTGTGGGGGCAGCTTTTTCCCAGCTCCATGCAGTCTAGGTGTGTTCCTGATGGATGCAAAGGGTCCCTGGTAAAATGGCAAGTCCGGAGAGCACTTCCGTGTGCTTGCATTCTACCCCGGTGGTGACTGGATCCCACTCTGTGCTCGGGCTGGTGGCCAGACAGGGCCTGGCTTATGGTGGAGTTTATTTAAATGTGAAGAATTAGGTAAGGAGCCCATTTTATATTTTTTCAGGTAGTTATCCCAATATATAATATTGAAGAAATTATCTTTCTTCCACAGAGATAAAAGCTACTTTTATCCATAGTAAATGTTCAAATTTTGTGTTTATTTGTGGAGTCTTTATTCTGTTGATCCACCTATTTATACACCACCTCACTATTTTAATAAATTTAGCTTGATAAATTTTTTTTATACTTGACTAGTGAGCCCTCCTCATTCTTCTTCTTTTCATAATTATTATTTTTTTTTAAGATTTATTTATTTATTTATTTATACAAGCACTGGGTACAGTCAGAAGCACGGAAGGGTGAGAGAATTCACCAGAGCCAGAGCAGGGAACAGAACAGGCAGAATGACGAAATACACTGCTGAGGGGAGCAGCAGGCTCGACGGGAGAGGTCTGTCGCTCCATGTGGGACCTTCATTGGCGGCCAGGGATAGAACCAGCACTGCAGAGGCTGTGGGCAGCTTCGCAGCCTAGCACTCAACCGCTGCGCCACCAGGGGAGGCCCTTTTTCATAATTATTCTAATGTCAAGTTTTTAAAAATTGTGTCATAGAATCAGCTTTTTATTTTTTTAAAAAAACTTTTCTTGTACTTTTATTGTGATAACACTAACTTTGTATGTTAATTCCAGGAAAACTAGCATCCTTGTGATTCATATAAATGTATATGGGTCCCTCAACAGCAGTTTAAAGTTTTTTCCAGATGGATCTTTCAAGTTTCCTCTTAGGTATTTAATTAATATTCCAGTTCAACCATATTGCCCCTGCTCCTTATAACTTGAGTTTCAGTCCTAATAGTAAGTGGCTCTTCAAAGCAAACAAAATGACAGTTATGTCTTGAATAGAGGAATCACCATATCTGGGCACTTTAAATTCTAGATCTTTCCCTAAGTGTTGGACTATCTTTAAATTAAAGACACATGAAAAAGCCATGAAATAGATAACAACCTTTCATATGATACAGTCTTTTAGGAGCAATTCTTACTCATGCATTATAATGTAAAGTACAGATAACAAGTATATAATTTAAATTATATGCTTAATTGTAATTTAAAGAGCTCAGTTGTCTCTTGAATGAAACAAGGTAGCTGATTTTAACAGAAGTATAGCAAAATGTAGTATAGCAAAAAAAAAAAAAAAAAAACAAAAAGTTAAACACTTAACATTTATGAGATCAAAAAATTTGGAAAACAAAGGCTAGAAGCCAATCTAAATTCCACAGTCATAAAACCTAAGAATGTCTAAGCTGTAAGGGACTTTACTGATAATTTATTATTTAAAATAATGACAACTGGGCCTCCCTGGTGGCGCAAGGGGTTAAGATGCAACCTGTGAGGCTATCTCCAGCCATGTAGCACGAGTTCGATTCCCGGCCAGGGAGCTTCCCACATGGTGAGCAGACCTCTCCTGATTTGCCCGCTAATCCCCTCACCAGTGTATTTCAGTCAATCTGCCTGTTCTGCTCCTCACTCTGTCTCTGGTGAATGTTCTCACCCCCCACACCTCTGGCCTTGCATGTACCCCAGTTCTTGTATGCATAAATAAATCTTTAAAAAAATAAAATAAATAAAATTTAAAAAAAGAAAGAAAAATTTGGAAAACAAAGAAAGCATAGTCTTACCGGGATAGGATTCCTACAAAGCTTCGTACAGGAGATCCATGCAACAGGGACTTCACATTGCCAAGCTGGCTCAAAAACTCTATGGTTTCATTTACTCGTCCAACTCTAAATATCCCCAGGATATCCACTGGACTTTTACTGTAATCATTAGAAGAAAAATCTTGAGATTACATGCTTAAAAGCAAAATTTTAAAAAATTATGATTAGCAGCAGAAACATGAAACAGCCCAAATGTCTATTATTAGGGAACTGATTCACTGATCACGCAAAATATCTTAAAAATACTACACAGAAATTAAAAAAAATTCATTCTTTAAAAAATAAATAAGGATATGAAGTAAAACTTAAAATAAAAAGTTAAAACTAGGTTACAAATTTTAATGCACAGTATGATTCCAAATTTTGTCAGATACAGAATATATCTTTGAATGAGTACATGAATGAGTTAAGAAAATATATACTGAGTTAAAAAAATGCATACTCTATGCCAAATTTTCTGCCAGGCACTGGAAATGACATGGTTTCAGCTTCATGGAGAGGGAAAGATAAAGATCAGAAGTTAATACCTGGTTTTAAGTATTACTAAGGAAACCAGGTTCAGAGAGAGAATAGTCAAGAAAGGCCTTTCTTTAGAAGTGACATTCATTGAACATGGCAGGATACAACATATATTTTAAGATCTAACTGGAAAATTAATTGGGTGGAGCAAGAGTGGGAAGAAATCAGGATAGATATTGCTGACAAGAGACAACAATATCTGGATGAAAGACTGCAGCAGGGTAAGCAAGAAGTTGGAGGACTCATGATATTTCTTGGGCAGAACTGAGAGAATGTGGTGATGTAGGGATGAGAGAAAGAATCAGCAGTGTTCCTGGTGGATAACTAAGATAGGGAAGCATGGAAAAGCTTGGAGGACTACTGAGAAAGAGTTATAGGGTGCAGAGGAATTATGAGCACCTAATAGGCACATCTTCTCAATTTCATGTTCAGTGGAATCCTTTTGGTAGCTTGAAATGAGCTAAGATGGGAGTATTTACACCACAGAAATCAGCAAATATTACAACAGTAGTTAAATTATTTCTGGGCTAACTTTGGGTGGTGATCTTTAATTTGAGGTGATATTTAATTTTCTTCATGTTTTTACATATTCTCTAAACTTTCAGCAAAGAAAATGAATTTCATAGGAGAAAAAAAAATAATGTAAAAAAAATTACTAGTGAGACAAAAAGGAGAAAATCTAATTTTTCACCACAGCGGAGTCTCTCCCGTAGGAGAGGTCCACATTTGTTGCAGGAATACTTTGATACATAAAGTGGTAGTGGGGGTGAGGTTTCCAAGGACCTGCTGAGTTACACTAGCTGCTTGAACAGTAGGTTTGAAGATCTAGCTGTTCCTTCCACCTCTCTCTCTGGAGAAAGCTAGTTACTTCCCTCCTTCACTTTTACTAGTCTCTTCATTAATATTAAGAGTCTAGCAGATACCTAGGGGAGGGTAAAAATTTAATCAAAAGATAAAAATAATTTATAAAATCAAAATCTTCCAAAGACCTCAGGAATGGACGTTTCATTGAGGTAAAATTCACATTATCATAAAATTAACCACTTTTAAGTATATAGAGCGGTATTTAGTACATCCAAAATGCTGTACCACCCCTCTCCCCTCTCTAGTTCCAAAGTATTTCATCATTCCAAAAAAAAACCCATATCCACTTAGCAGTCAGACTCTATTCCTCCCTCCAAGGATTTATCTATTCCAGATATATTACATAAATGAAATCATAAAATAGGTGGTCTTTTGTGTCTGGCTTCCTCCCCTTAGCAAAATGTTTTCAAGGTTCCCCATGTAGTGTCAATATCTCCTTGCTTCTTATGGCTGAGTAATATTCCATTAAATGCATATACTATATCTTGATAATTTATTCACTGATGAAAATTTGGGTTGTTTGCACTTTTTGGCTATTGTGAATAATGCTATTGTGTAATGGCAGCAAGGCACAGAGCAGGTTCTTTATGATCCGGGCAGACAGGTAAAGGAGAGTCCTGGAGCTCTCAGTGGCTTCTCAGGCTTTTACTGAGCTTTTTACAAGGCGGTGGAGCTGGAGGGCCGGGAGTCAGGGGGCCAAGGGCCTGGGGGCCGGGAGACCTCCCAGCTCCCGGTTAATCTTCACTCTTTCAGGGCTCTCAGGCATTCTCTCGTGGTCTATTTCTGTGGTTCTTCTCTCTGGTTCTGCTCTTGTTCTACTGTTGCTCTTTCTCGTTCTGCTCTCTCTTTTGCTGGTTCTCCATGACGCCGCCCTTATAAGCTCAGTCTCAGCCCAGGTGTGCCCACCTATGCATGCCCACACCCTACTTCCGATGTCCACCATCAGGCATGCATGCAGGACTGCAGGGGTCCATCATTAATGCTAATGGTGGGAGGGTGGAAAAGCCTGATAATTTTTCACTTACTGTACATGCTGTTATGAACATTCATGCTCAAGAGTTGTTTGAGTACTTGTTTTTGGTTCTTTTGGGTATACAGTCAGAAGTGGAATTGCTCGGGCATATAATAACTCTGTTTAATTTGCTGTGGAACTGCCAAACAGCAGCTGTGCCATACTAAGTTTTCCACAAACACTTGTGGGAGTATTCTAATTTCTCTGCATCTTATCAACACTTATAATTCCCCCCTTTTTTTTAAGTAGTCATCTTAGTGGACGTGAGGCAATACTGAAATTGTGAAATGCATATTAGCATAACAAACAGGGATACATGGTCACTATGGAAGCAAATGTCAAGGAGCCATATCTCTTGACATGCTTTCCACTTGGTGATTTTATGCCATGGAGTGGTCATTCTATAAGCTGCCACACACATACTTCTGTGTTCTAAAATCTTAACTGAAAAGGATTTTCCTACAAAGTATCTTTGGAACACAAAATAAAATGTCACTTTGTTTCAAAAAATTTTACTATCAGCAGGCCTCCCTGGTGGCACAGGAGTTAAGACGCAACCTATGAAGCTATCTGTAGCCAACTATGAAGCTATCTGTAGCCATTGCAGAACGAGTTCGATTACCAGCCATGGAGATACCGATATGGCGCAGCAGACCTCTCCTAACTGGCCCACTGCTTCCTTCAGCAATGTATTTCGGTCAACCTGTTGTGTTCCCCACTCTGTCTCTGGTGAATCCTCTCACACCCATGCCTCTGGCCTGTACCCCAGTTCTTGTATGCATAAATAAATAAATCTTAAAAAAAAAATTTTATTATTAGCAAGATAAGGTAATCTTGAAATCAGAGAGGAACAATAGAGTGTTTTCCAGCACAGAATACAATCCCAAGCCCTATTAAAAACACAGAAAAAAGTAATTTGTCATAATGTTATTATCTTATTACTGAGGACTATTACCTATGTAATTGTGGAGATTAGCTCTTTAACAGAATCTGCAACAGTATTTTATAATATTGGGTCCTAACATATTTTCTTTATGCTTACCTGTGATTATTCTGCAAAACTTGCTTTCTAACCCTGAAAAATTCTTCAGTGTTCTGGTTAACATGCTCAATTTTGCATCTCAAAGCACGGTATTTGGCAAGAGATGGTGGGTTGGGTTTGGACAAATTCGTTTCAAACACATTAACCATGTCTCTTATTAGCTGTAGATGGAAATGACAGACAGATGTAAGACTCATCATGTACCAAAATATTTATATCACATTACACTTCCTCAGAAAAATAAGCTTTTCTCCCCAAAGACTGAGTAATACATACCAATACTGTAAGGGGAAAATTAAAGAATACTGCTGCCTCAATGATGGACAACATATGACAACAATCATAGTGCACAGCAACTCATTGTTAATAAAGTGGTTTCAGTTTCATTTTTCCTTTAATCTGCACTGTAACATGGGTCTTATTAGGTCTTTATTATTCTTACTATCTAGATGAGGAAAGCAAGACTCAGGAAATTAAGTTGTTCAAGATCCCAATAAAAAGGGAGAGAGACTTAACTGGAATTCAGATTATTAGACTCCAGCTCTGCTTAATAAAAATTCATTCAGCTTGTTCTCTATGTCAGGCATTGTATTAGATTTTAAAGATACAAAGATGAACAGACATGTGACAGTGTCTGTAGCAGCAAAGTTTAGAAACAATCCAAACATCTGGCAAAAGAGGATGGACATATACCCAAGGTGGCACATGCCTGCTGTGAAACAGTAGACTGGATGGTACAGAACCTGGTAGAGGAAGAGGGGGGCAGACGAGCAAAGATGGTACACTATTTTTCATGTAAAAAAGAGGAGAGGAATAAGTTCCTATGAATAGGTTCCTATACATGCTTACTTGCATGAAGAATCCACAAACAAGAAACTAATAAAAATGGTTAGTTCTGGGTGGGGAGAGGGGGTAGTAATGAGGTTGAAGGGACAGGGTAGAATAGAGATTTCTCTGAATACACCTTTTTAATATAATCTTGATCTTTGGATTATACAGTTGTATTACCTATTGAAAATATAAAACTTAAGTGAAAACATGTATGGATGGGCACTATACAAACCCTCTCAGTAACAAAACCAATGACTGAAGTCCTTTATATTGGTCTTAGGCAAAATACGGGATTTTAAATTTGGAAGGTCCTTTTTTCAATTCACTTCCTGGTTCTTCATTTGTTGGTCTTCACTTATATAGTTTACAAACCATTCAAAGTTATCATCTCCCCAAAACACAAACTACACATCTGCAAACAACTCCGATGCCTACGTTACAAATCTCTATATTGTCCCAATCCCCTCAGGCACAGATGAGGCAACTCAAGAGTCAGAGAGTGACTTCAGTCTCATCAGCCTCTGTTAAGGGAAGGGGGATGCCTGACTGTTTTCCAGTCTTCTCCTTTGGTAACTGAGCCCTGCTCCTTTCCCCACAGTTTGTCTTGACAGTGACTGGCTTACGATTACCCATTTGGTTCAATTCTGACAAAAAGAAAATTGTTGGGGGCTTTCTCTAAGATACACAAAAAGAAATACTCCAGATGGTACACTATGAACTATTGCAGCTAAATGTTGATGGTAAGGGGACAAGGCTGAGATGGAAGCTGTCATTTTATAGGGAGCACAGTGATGGGAAAAGCTGCGACTGATGGTCAAGCTGTTTCTAAGTGATGTGGAGCACACCACTGGATAACTTGTTAAAGAAGGGGTAAATGTCCTAACTGTGAAGCCATGCGGCTTTTTATTTCTTCTGCAGAAAGAATCCTAACTCCTCTCATTATCTGGAAAATTGTATTACAGTGTAGCAATTCCAAAAAAATTGCATTTATACTACTACTTCAACACATTTTGTTTGGCAGTATGAGTCAGATAACTTCCAAAAGGATCAAAAACATTCTAAAACAATTTATATTTGTGCACAAACTCTAGAGACAATTTTTGGATTCAGTGTTACCTTATTCACATGGTTTGTAAAGACCCTTCCTCCAATACACTTTCAATTGAATTCTGTATTCAGAGATTTACCTGGCAGAGATCCTCCTTCTTAGCTAACAGTCTCAGGTTAACTTCTTCAACTTTTGGACCTTTGTGAGGTATCAATCTGTAGAATTCAGTCATGATCTTTTGTAATTTTTCTTCTGTTTCTCCATTTTTTAGTGCTATCTTTGCTAGAAGGAGAATTGCCTCTGCCTTGCTCACCTTTAAACAGAAGATGAGATATATTCATTAAGATCAAATCTTGATAATCATAGGAAAAGTGAAGAGAAATATAAAATATTAGATCTAAAATAATTGTTAGACATGTTACACTATTTGTTTTCTACTGGACAGCCACCATAAAACAGATGCTGGTGTTTATCAGAGAGGCAGCTTAATTGTGGTGATGATGCCATGAGGAGTCTTCCAAACTGGGTTCGGGTTAACTACAGGAAAGGTTCCATGAAGTCTGTCTATATTTATATCTATATCATCTATGTCTACATGTACATCCATATTAATATCTCTATCATCCACATATCTGCATACACCTATACTTATCTCCACACACTGCAGTGTGTGGAAGAGTACTAATACAACTGGAGTAGACTTGATTTTCACAAAAGAAATTTAAATAGATGTAAAACTCAAACTAGAAACAGAATCCAGAACATGACTCTAATTATAAGTCAAGTACTTTTTGGACTTTATCTCAGGAAAAATTTTTCTTTCTGAAATAAATTAGTTTATTTATCTCTCCTTAGGGGAGAGTTGTTTCAGTAAATGATATAGTTGTACAAATTGAACCACTGGGAATATTTTCTTTCATTTGCTCTTTCAGTTACATATAGTTAAGAAGATAAGAATATTTTCTGGAGGGCTGGAAGCAAGCCTGCCTTTCCCTGAGACAGTCAGAACGTGTAAGTCTCTGAAGCAGTTGCTATAAATTAGAGTAGGATCATCTAAGAACCAGGACCATATATGTATCTCAGGCCTGCTACAAATCTGTTGATCTAGAGAAGCAGGCCTCCAAATAAGCCAGCACCAAGAAGTCAATCTCTGATCAGATCCTATGTCTGACATTTTTCACATAGGGATATCTACTTTTCTGGGAAGTTGATTTCCCCTTCACTGTTCTTTCTTGGTGTTCTCTTTCCCCAGGTAAGAAGAAAGAACAGCCAGGAATGAATACAAGATCAACTGGACCAGCACTCAAACAAAGTGGCATTGTTATTTTTGACTGTCTTTATTAATAAAATTTTATTGAGGTAATAGTGATATAATTGGTACTATTCAAGCTAAGAAATCCAGAAGGTTTGTTCTATGAGAGGTGGTTTGTCCTGGGGTAGGGGGGTGGGTTTGTCCTGTTTTCAAGGACATGTTTGACTTACATCATTAAGACTAATGCTGTTCACAGGGTTAAGGAGTGTGTGTTCCAAGTGACCAAGAGCTTCTGCCCAAATCATCTCCACCAAATCGCTCTCCTCTTGGTTCAGAGTGTTTGAACTTATTACCTCCTCCAAAAGCAACTGCAATAACAAAATAACACCCAGAAAAACTCTTCAAGAGCTGAATAGAGGTGTGAGGAAAAATAATGAATAATTAGCCTGGAAGTGAGTAACCTTCAATCACCTAAGTGTTGACATTCTGGACCTGCTCTCTGCTTGCCTCTCCATCCTCCTCCCCACTGTATTCTTCCCTTCTCCCCCTTCTCCCTTACTCCCATCTTATTTTTCCTTTTCCCTTTTCTTCACCCTGTAACTTTAGGTCTACCAGTGACATTAATGATTAAGTATTAAGGGTTAAGAACTTTCGGCTCCTAGGTCTAGGTTATAATCAAACTTTCTGCAAGCTGTGAGAACTGTTGCTGAAATAAAAGATAAGTTTTGAGACCTGTCTTTGAACTCATTCCCACCCAGCTTTCATGCCTTTCTATGGGTTTACCTTTTCTTTTATTTGATCCTACTCTTCGTTTCTGACAGGTTTTGTCATAAAGAAAACATTTCTACTAGGAACATTCAATCACTAACACAAAATGATATGTTCAAATCAGTCTTACTGCTTGCAACTTCTCAGAGGCTAATTGGGTTGCTTTAGGTGTAAAGTGTTCTTTTAGAAGAAATCCTTGTTTCTTTAGCACTTCAATGTAATTTTCATAGTATTCACTTGCATCTGCAGAGGTTTTTTTTACAGCAAACTGCCTTCTAGTCTGTGAATTATAAGATATAACCAAATGTTAGGATATGAAGATACAGTAACTTATTAAAATATCAGTCTTTGTTGAACACCTACTATGTGCATGGGCATAGGACATAAATATTGCATTAGATCTGTGCATAAGGGAGTTCAGAAACTAGTTTCCAATTGCTTAAAGATTCAATTCTTCACAAAAAAGCTGACATCCTAAAAGTAAACTGGGAAAACCCCAAGTTAGCACAAAAGATGCATCTGATCCATTGAAGAATCATGGAAACATTTATTCAGAGCTCACACACTCTTAATTTAAATACTACTTTAATTAGCTTTGAAGTTTGGTTACCTAGTTTTTTGGCAATGATTAAAAAAAAAAACCTCAAGGGAGAAGAAGATAAGCAAAATACCTTAGAAGTGAGGTATTATTAAAATAGGCACAGAGTGGAAATGAAATGATAGCTGTGACAAAGGAGAAGGCAGGAAACCTCTATGGTCATGCAAACTACCTTAAAGGTGCAGAGTGGGGAGTCCTTTGGGTAGGCATGATGGCCTCCCTCATCCCAACATGCCTTGCAAAGCGGCATTTTCTGCTCCTCCTGGAAATCCCCACCCCTGGAGTAAGCAGTTATCCGAACATCAGCCTCAAAGAATATAGAGGATTTGCCCCAGTTGGGGGCTGTGGGATACTTGTGTTTGTTGAGCAAGGCACGGCCTTTGGGGTGTGCAGTCCCAAGGTAAAGCCAAACTACTCACAATACTGATAACCACCTTCCTGAATTGGGGGCTATAGGACGCCTCTGAAACTGGAAATATATCATGTTCAAGTCATTTCATCTAAGAAGGTAGAGTTTAAAATAATTTTGGAAGATTTTCATCAAAATGGGTTGATACAGGGGAAGGACAAGTGAGATAAGCTCACTGCAGAACTGGTTAAGTGAGGATTATTTCTATCAAGGTGAACAATTCAGCCAAGGAGTGCTCTGTGAATTCTGAATACTGACTTGCTAAGGGAGGAAAGCACCAGGAAGGCTTTTGGTTTAGTAAGCAAAAAGAGATAGGCTGATCTAGCCACGTTACAGTTTTTTTTTTCAGGAAAGAAAAAAATTATAACACATTCTATCATGGTTTTCAACTACTTACATTTAACTTACACTACTGAATCCTCCACAAAATATAGTACACATTTTTGAGTAAAAGGTTAACAAAACCCCTACTCCTTCTTGGACACATCTAACCCTGGATTAGCTTTCTAGATTGATTTCCACAAAAACTTAAGGTGGGACATCAGCTGTGATATTAGGAAAAAATGCTTGAATAATAGTGATCTCTCATTAGTAAACTGCACGAGACTTGGAGTTTAAAAAATGAACCATAAAAAGCAGGTGGGAAACATGTGCCTTGGGCTTCCTGGAGTGTGGCACTGGCATGTTCCTCTAACCTTGAGAGGACATCTCAAACCGTTGTGGTAAAAGATGTATTGGAGGTTGGGTGGGAGTTCTGTCAGGTGGTTCTTGCTCCTAGTTGATTTTGTAACTGGATATCTGAGGCCTCTGGGTGCCTCAAGGAAAGAAGCTTTTGAGGGGCTGAGGCAAGTTGCTTCATACCAGGGCCTATGGACCTTTACCCTCCTGCAGCCCCAGAAAGGCCAGCTCTGGCCAAGGTACTCTGGAGCCAACAGGCCCACCAACCTGCCCTGATCAGAGTGCAGGCTGGGCTAGCCTTTTCTCCCTTATATATCTGGCTTTAGGAATCTAACTCAATTAATTATTCAGATTGAAAATGAGCTGATTGGTGCAAAACTGTCCAATCACATGCTTAGTATTGAAAATGACCCAATCAGGATTTTAGGGTGATGGACCCTGAAGAAGACATAAGGCAGATCAAGAGGCAGCTTGAGTCAGTCTGAAAAAGGATTCATTGGACTACCTTTGAAGAAGCAGTGTGCAGCCAGCCTCTAAAGAGAGAAGGATTCATTGGAAGAAGTCAGCAGCTGGTTTTGAAGAGGAAGAATTCATAGTACCACCTCAAAAAAGGAGGATTCTGTTCCCAGCTGCTGAAGAGAGAGAAGCAATCGAGCAGTTGACCTCTTTGAGGTTCACCAGACCTTCACTGAGAAACTTGGTTCTGCCCCAGCCTCTAACATTGCCTGCAAGGAGCACCCTCGGGCTAGCCACAGCATCTCAAAGAGCTGACCACAGTCTCTGGTTCTCTAGTACCACCTCCTGGTACTGTTGAGTTCATCACAGTCTGGTTTGGGATGCAGCCCAGCCTCCAGACTGCTGTTGTGAGCTGCTGCAGTGTCATCTCATCTTCCATAAGCGGCCTTTGTTTGGGACCGCTGGACACTGAGGACACCATCTGAGACAGCTGGCCACTTGTGGCCTTAAAAACGCCTTTCTTCTCCCTAATCTCCTATTTGTTAAATAAGCCCTGTTGTTGTTGGGCCCTGAATCTATATGATCTTGCAGTTGTGTGCATAGGTACAATGTTACCAGCAGTCACCTGTCCTCTACCTCAGGCACTGTCCCTTAGCATTCTGAACACTGTTCGACTGTTCGAGCTCTTTTCTACTCCTGTGCTGTTTCAATGTGAATCTCCTTCCTTGCCCTGAGCTAACACTGGGAGTGTGGATACAGTTAGAAGCTTAAGAGAAATGCTGTGAGGTCCATTACTGCTGAGGAGTGCCAATGCTTCTGCCTGGTCAGAGAAAACCTGATGGTTGCTGCAGCATTATATGTAAACTTCAGGCATTAGTTGCCCACAACACTTCACACGTGGTTCAATATTACTTCTATCATGGCAGGTTCCAGGCACCAATGTGTGGCTTCCTCCCAGATGATAAGTTTTGAGAAGCAGGGTATGCAGTCATGGCTTCTATATTTGGCACATAGTAGGTGTTTCATGAAGTGTGTGAATGGACAACTTTTAGGGGTGTATACTCTGTAAAATATTGCACAACTGATTTACAACAGGGGTAGTTTCCCTCTTAAACCCAGGGAACATTTTCCTGTGACTAGAACCCTGTGCCAGGGGATGTTATTCTCACATTCCAAACATTTACCAGGTCAAAAGAAAAAGGTAAACAGATTGACTGGTTCATTGACCAATTTTAAAGAAACTGGTATGAACAAGGGTGGATAAACACGTAGCAATTGATACAAAGACTGTCACCTCAATGTCATCGGCCAGGAGGAAGTGTGCAGAGATCAGGAAGGCAGGGTCCGCAGGGTTCCGGGAGCAGAGCAGCTCCAGGACCGCAGTCTCCTTACTACCCTCTGCCACAATCTGAAAAACAGGTGGTTCCCTGGTAAGGTGCACGCATAAATAACAAACCAGGGGTCATTTAAAAATGTTGCTTATTACGTGGATGGAGTTGGAAGGGATCATGCTCAGCGAAATAAGCCAGAAAGAAAAAGAAAAATACCAGATGGTCTCACTCATAACAGGAATCTAGAAAACCTAAATAAGGGACCAGGAAAAAGAATAACTATAAGAAAGAAAAAAATCAAAATCAACAAACAACTATGAACCAGGGACACACTTCGGGGGGGAGGGGCGGGGAAAGGAGGGATTGGGGTCAAAATCAGGGGGTTGCCACTGTATGGGGAATATAAAAATAATAAATAAATAAACAAATAAATCTTTTAAAAAAAGGAAAAAACTAAAAATGTTGCTTATTAAAGCCATGTGTGCTTATCTGGAAATACAAATTAGCAATGACCATAAGTATAAGGAAAAAAATTTTAATCATGAAATCATATTAGAGATATATAATCACTATTAATATTTTCATATATTTCTTCCTGTATTTTTACTGTAGATACGTGTATATACATAAACAGTATTTGCTTCCCACAGAGTGAATGCTATTTTCAACTTACATTTTATATATATATATACATATATTTTTTAAGAATTATTTTTATTTATTTATGCATACAAGAACTGGGGTATAGGCCAGAGGTACAGGGGGTGAGAGGATTCACCAGAGAGAGTAGGAAACAGAATAGGCAGATCTACTGAAATATACTGCTGAGGGGAGCAGCGGAGGAGACAGAAGAGGTCTGCTGTGTCATGTGGGTTAGCATCCTGGCCGTGATCGAACTCATGCCACAGTGGCTGGTGATAGCTTGATAGTGCTGAGACTTAACCCCTGTGCCACCAGGGAGACCCTCATATATATATTTGAACAAATAAAATATCTAAAAGATAAAAAAAGAGCATTATTTGGAATGCTAGTATTAGTGTGCATTTGTGTGATGCTGGAGAAAAAAGTTATTTTTCTTTGTAATGTAGAGTAATTGAAATCTCATTTGGTGGAAATATTTGGTGTCAAATTTACTTTTTTTTTTCTTTAAGATTTATTTATTCAGGCATACAAGAACCAGGGGACAGGCCAGATGTGCGGGAAGGTGAGAGCATTCATGAGAGACAGAGTGGGGAACAGAACAGGCAGACTGACGGAAATACACTGCTGAGGGGAACAGCAGGCAAGCCAGGAGAGGTCTGCTGCGCCAAGTGGGTATCTCCCTGGCTGGCTGGGATGGAACCCACGCTGAAGAGGCTGCAGACAGCTTCACAGTGCTGCACTCAACCACCCGAGCCGCCAGGGAGGCCCAAATTTACTCTTTTAAAATACGAGAAAATAACAGGGAGAGAAAGCCTTTATTTTTAATGTCACTTTAATATTTTATACTGTTCCCTTTTTTATTATGAGAAGGCATTTCTTTAAATTAAATCTTAATGTAAATATTTTCCTATCAAAATCAAATCATATATTAAGGATTATTTATTTAGGAGATTCACAATTTTTTTAAAAATCACAAGAAAATTAACAAACAGGAAAAATTCAAAACAGTTTTTACTTCAAATAGAAATTATTCGTACCTTTTCCAAGATGTTATATTTTGCAACTTCAAAATCCCGAGCAAAATCAGGGATTTCAACATCTTCTGTATGAAACCTAAAATTTGCATAATTAAAATGTTAAAATTAAAATGTACTTTTAGTCTAAACTGAATTTTCATAAAATTATTCTTGCAGCTCTCCTAATCCCATATAAAATATTCTAATTCAGATATTCTAAAATGATTAAGAGGTCTTGTGTAATGAGCTGGATTCCATCTTTATGTAATTCTAGAGCTCTGATGTCTCACAGGGAAGGTAACATGGCATGAAGCAGAGCAGATGTGTAAAAGAAATATGCCAGCACACTGGAGAAAGCACAGCCCTTGTAGCGATGGGCAACGTGTCTTCAATTTGGCTTCTGACTCATAGCATCTGTATCACTCATAGCAATGCCTTCTCATAATAAAAAAGGGAACAGTACAAAAGTGACACAGTACAAATGTGATATCTGTGTCACATCTCTGGACTACGCTCAACAACTCTTTAAAATAAAGGTGTCAGAATAAGACCTGAAACCATAAAATACATAGAAGGAAATATAGGCAAAACACTACGTGATATGCACATCAAAGACATCTTTACAGACACATCATCCAAAGCAGTGATAGTGAAGGCAAAGATAAACAGCTGGGACTACATCAAATTAAAGAGCTTCTGCACAGCAAAAGACACAATAACAAAAACAAAGAGAAACCCCACCGACTGGGAGAACATTTTTGCACACAACACTAATGATAAAGGACTGATCACAAAATCTGCAAAGAGCTGATGAGATTCAACACAAACAAAATAATCCAGTCAAAAAATAGGCAGAACAGCTAAAAAGAAACTTCTCTGAAGAGGAAATGCAAATGGCCAACAGGCATATGAAAAAATGTTCAACATCACTTGTAATCAGGGAAATGCAAATCAAAACTACCATGAGATACCATCTTACACCAGTGAGAATGGCACATATTAAAAAAACTAGCAACAACAAATGTTGGTGAGGATGTGGAGAAAAAGGAACTCTCCTGCACTGTTGGTGGGAATGCAAACTGGTCCAACCACTATGGAGAGCTGTGTGGAGATTTCTTGACCTACTAAACATAGAGCTTCCACATGATCCAGCAATTCCACTCCTAGGTATTTACCCAAAGGACACAGAAACATCAATTCCAAAGAGCACCTGCACCCCTATGTTTATAGCAGCACTATTTACAATAGCTAAGCTTTGGAAACAACCCAAATGCCCAAAAATAGATGACTGGATCAAGAAGATGTGGTACATATACACCATGGAATATTACTCAGCATTCAAAAAAGATAAACACATGCAATTTGCAGCAACATGGATGGCGCTGGAAGGGATCATGCCCAGCGAAATAAGCCAGAAAGAAAAAGAAAAATACCGGATGGTCTCACTCATAGCAGGAATCTAGAAAACTAAAATAAGGTACCAGGAAAATGAATAACTATAAGAAAGTGAAAATCAAAATCAACAAAAAACTATGAACCAGAGACACAATATGGGGGGTGGGGGCGGGGTGGGGAGGGATTGGGGTCAAAATAAGGGGGTTGCAATTGTATGGAGAATATAAAAATAAAATTTATTTAAAAAAAAAAAAGAATAAAATGCTGCATGACGGGACAGTGGTGATGGTGCACAGGTGAAAAATTCTATGGGGACTACACCTGGTGGGGGGGAGCAAACATTGTTTCAAAATGAACAATGCTGTAAAAATATATGAAAAGATAAATAAAAATAAATAAATAAATAACAAAATGCTGCAAGAAAAAAAAAAAGAAAAAGAAAATATCAGAGAATAATGAACTGTCTTGCTCTAAATGCTGTTCAGTAAGGTGACAGTGAATACGCCACCCAAACCTCATCTCAGTGGTTTCTCTTTTTAAAAAATCAATCTAGGGGCTTCCTGGTGGCACAAGGGATTAAGTGTCAGCACCATGAAGCAATCCACAGCTACTACAGCACGACTTCAACCCCCAGCCAAGGAGGGGACCCACATGGTGCAGCAGACCTCTCCTGTCTCACCTCTGCTCCCCTCAGCAGTGTATTTCAGTCAATCTTCCTGCTGTGTTCCCCACTCTGTCTCTGGTGAATCCTCTCAACCCCTGTACCTCTGGCCTATACCCCAGCTCTTGTTTGCATAAATAAATAAAACTTTAAAAAAATCAATCTAACAGTTATATCCATAAATAATGACAGATTAAAAGTAATAATCACTATACTAGTGGAATTACAGGTTTTAAATAAAAAGATAATAGATAAACAAGATAAAATACTTCAAAAATCTAATGATTTATAAAAATTTACTAATTGCATTTTAATACTATTCTTGAGGTTTACAAAACATTTACAATCTTTGTTGAGTCTTAATGACCAGAAATAGATTACTAATAGCCAAGAGTTGGAAACAATCTAAGTGCCCATGGACAAAAGATAGATAAGATGTGGTGCATATAGACACAATGGAATACTACTCAGTTATTTTTTTTAAAAAAGATGAAATCCTGCCATTTGTAACAACATGGATGGACCTAGAGGGTACTATGCTTAATGAAATGTCAGATGAAGAAAAATAAACATCATATGATTTCACTCATATATGGCAGAGAAACAAAACATATGAACCAACTAAGTAAAACTTTTAGATGCTAAGGCCAAATTTGCGGTTATAAAAAGGGAAGGCAGAAAGGGGTTAAGTAAATCAGGTAAAAGGGGTCAACCGTATGGTGAAGAATGGAACTGGACTTTTGGTGGTGAACATAATGTAGTATATATTGACACTGATTTATAATGAAATACACCTGAAATCTATAATGTTATAATACAATGCCACTTCAATAAAAGCTTTAAAAAAGGTAGATTACTTAGTGAGTTCCACCATGTCATCCTCTTCTATGGAATTGTCCCAGGACAGATCATTTGTTTTCACTTCTAGAATTAAAACAAAGCACTTATTTACTACTCAAAGACTTATTAAAAATAAGTTAACAATAAATGCTGGAATTGTTAAGATTCTTGAAGATGGGTCGCATGTGCCATTGTATTCTATTTTTTTAGGTACCTAAAATTAACTATAGTTACTGGTAATCTAAGGATAATGTAGGAAAAGAGGAAGGTAGAAAAAAATAGAACATATCATTACAATACTATTTTAATAGGCATGTGAGGAGGATTCTAATGTAATCTGTATTATCTGAAAGTCATTGATAGGCATGCAATTTCCAATGGCATTCTTCTCTTCTGGAGATTATGGTGAGCATAGTTATTAGATGTATTTCTAACTACAGAATCAGAATAAGTTCCAAGTGCCATCACTTCACAAAGGAATCTACGTTAGAAGGAAATTTATGGGTTCTTATGAGAGGGCCAATAAGTTCTGCTTTATATTTTTCTGTAGAGTAACTGTAACACTAAAGCATTATAAAATATAGGAATAACTTTTATTTATATTTTTTAGTTTTTTTAAAATTTTTTATTTTTTTACACCATTTTTCATTTTTGCACAATGTATGCATTTTCATCTTGGTTATAGTCCCCATACAATTTCCACCCCCACCTTGTTTTGATCCTGCTCCCTCCTCCCTACCCTTACCCCCCCACCTCCCATAGTGTGTTTCTGATTTATAGTTGCTTGTTGATTTTGATTTTTACTTTACTATAATTAGTCTTTTTCCTGGTGCCTTATTTAGGTTTTCTAAATTCCTGCTAGGAGTGAGACCACCTGGTATTTTTCTTTTCCTTTCTGGCTTATTTTGCTGAGCATGATCGCTTCCAGCTCCATCCATATTGCTGCAAATGGCATGAGTTTATCTTTTTTGAATGCTGAGTAATATTGCATGGTGTATATGTACCATATCTTCTTGATCCAGTCATCTATTTTTGGGCATTTGGGTTGTTTCCATAGCTTACATATTGTAAATAGTGCTGCTATAAACATAGGGGTGCAGGTGCCCTTTTGAATTAATGATTCTGTGTCCTTTGGGTAAATAGCTAGGAGTGGAATTCCTGGATAAAATATATAGAAGGAAATACAGGCGAAACACTACATGACATGCACATCAAAGACATCTTTACAGACACATCACCCAAAGCATTGACAGTGAAGGCAAAGATAAAGAGCTGGGACTACATCAAATTAAAGAGCTTCTGCATAGCAAAAGAGACAATAACCAAAACAAAGAGACACCCTACCAATTGGGAGAAAATTTTTGCACACAACACTAATGATAAAGGACTTATCACAAAAATCTACAAAGAACTGATGAGAATCAACAAAAACAAAGTAAATAATCCAAGAATAACTTTTAATGCACGATTTCTTTTCAGTTTAAATTAAGGCATCAGATTTCAAAGAAAACCAAAGAAGTCATGCAGATGGCCAACAGACATAGGTACAAATGTTCATCATCACTTATCATCAGGGAAATGCAAATCAAAACAATGAAATCCCACCTTATACCAGTGAAAAAGGCCCACAATAAAAAACAGAAACAATAAGGGTTGCTGAAGTTTTGGAGAAAAAGGAATCCTTACATTGCTGGTGTGAATATAAACTGGTCCAGCCATTATGGAAAGAAGTGTGGCGATTCCTCGAAAGACTAAAAATGGGATCTACCATACGACCCTGCATGTTGAAAATGCCAAAGAACACAAAAGCACTACGTAAAAAAGAAACCTGCAGTCTTATGTTTATGGTAGCACTATTAACAATAGACAAGATATGGAAACAACCTAAAAGCCTCAGAACAGAGGAGTGGATCTGTTCTGGGTATATATATACAATGATACACAAGATGTGGCATATTACTCAGCGATCAAAAAAGATAAACTCATGTCATTTGCAGAAACATGGATAGAGCTGGAAGGGATTATTCTAAGTGAAATAACCAGAAGGAGAAAGATAAATACCTGATGGTGTCACTTATACTTGGAATCTAGAGAAACCAAACAAAGGATCAGACAAAGACAAACTGTAGTACTGACCCTTGAAAGCAGAAAATAGATCAGAGATATTCAGGAGGAAAGGGAAAGCTGGAAAGAGAGGGCAAGAGTAGAAAACAGGGTGGGAGAAGAGAGCACAATGGACTATGGTGGAGGACTCTGGGTGCTTTGGTTGTGGGGAAACTATGGTGACTACACCTAACGGGAAAATCCTAAATTGTGAAAAAAAATCAACAAGGATGTTTAAGTAAATATAAATTTTAAAAAGTTAACACCAAAAAAAGAGAAAAGTCCCAGTCAATATTAAGTGATAATCACAGTCTAAAATTAATTAGTTTTTGGCGCAGTGGGTTGAGCGCAGCTCTGTGAAACTGTCCACAGCCTCTGCGGCGCAGGTTCGATTCCTGGCTGGCCAGGGAGAAAGCCACATGGCATGGCAGACCTCTCCTGTCACGCCAGCTGTTTCCCTCAGCAGTGTATTTCGTCTGCATGTTCTGCTCCCCGCTCTGTGTCTGGTGAATCCTTCACCCTCCCATGCATCTGGCCTGTACCCCAGCTCTTGTATAAAAATAAATAAAACTTTAAAAAAAAACTCCTTAAAAAAAATTAATTAGTTTTGGTGAAATGATAAAGATGAGTTTTCAATGTTGAAAAATGCCTCTAAGTTAACATAGTGTCCATTGAAACATTACTGACATTTACACTTTGTTCATATTTTCTTTAATGTATTAGAAACTATTTTCTCTAAGTAAATCATTAACAAAGCAGGAAAAAAAAGATTTCAAAGATCAGGTGTATATTTGTAGTAATTCTGAATGTGACTTTATTATCTTGGATGCTGAAAAATGTTCACAGTGTGAAAGGACTCTACCTATTTTGTTCAGCTACCATTCTCAGAGACAGCAGGAAAGTCTGGTGACAGCATTGCCAGACTATCATTTTTTTAAAGAGGCTACACCACAACAAAACATTATCTAACTGATATCTAACACAAAGCATGTGCTTACTATAAATTGGTAGTTATCAGAATGGCTTAATTTTTAATGTTACACTTGAGGAGTATATTTTTTCTCTATACAAGGGTGTTCTTCTTGGTCAGATTCCAAAATAAAATCTGAGTTTACAAAGGAGATGTGTTTCTTACAGAAATAACTCTTTTTTTCCCACAGATTCATCTATTTGTGCATACAAGAACTGGGGCACAAGTCAGAGGCGGGTGAGAGGACCCACCAGAGACAGAGTGGGGAACAGAACAGGCAGACCGACTGAAACACACTGCTGAGGGGAGCAGCAGGCGAGCCAGAAGAGGTCTGCCGCGCCATGTGGGTAGCTCCCTGGCCAGGGACTAAACCCGCATTGCAGTGGCCACAGACAGCCCCACAGGCTGCATCCCAACCCCCTCTGCCATCAGGGAGGCCCCAGAAATAACTTCTTTTTTTTTTTTTTTTTTTTTTTTTATAGAGGCATGCTTTATTTATTTGTTTGCTGGTTTGTTTGTTTGTTTTGTTTATACATGCACTGGGTACAGTCAGAAGCACGGGAGGGTGAGAGAATTCACCAGAGCCAGAGCGGGGAGCAGAGCAGGCAGAAGGACCGAAGTACACTGCTGAGGGGAGCAGCGGGCAGCAGGAGAGGTCTGCACGCCATGTGGGACCCTCCTCCGGTGGCCGGGGAGCAGCCGGGGATCGAACCGGCGCCGCAGAGGCCGCGGGCAGCTTCGCAACCCAGCGCTCAACCGCTGCGCCACCGGGGAGGCCCCAGAAATAACTTCTTTAGCATAATGCTGGTCATAAAATTTCCAGTTATTAAGTTGTGATGATAATTTTTTAATGCAAAGGTTCATCTCCTTCAGTTAGAATTACACATCAATTTTCCCCATATTATCAGTATTTTGGTAGTCATTTGAATCTAACCACGCTAGACTGCATATTTAGAAATTTATTTTTGTTGATAACATAGTTTTTGGCCTTTACTACTTTCTTGTCCATCTTTTGAGATAATAATAAGTCTATTTGCATAGTATTTCTGACAATTCATTCACTGTAATATCTTTGATACACCAATACATTTATTATTGTACCTACAATACATGAAGTGCTTGAAAAAAGCTTACCAGAATGGCTTTCCTCTTGACCAGGAGGTTGTATGGTGTCCAGTGACTTGTCGGGATCATAATTCTTCACATCCAGGAGTCTCCTTTCTCTGACAGATTCCCATACAAAATCTGGGTTTGTAATATGGATATGGTTCTTTTGGACAGAGTTTAGTAGATGATGACTGAGAACATCAGTACTGTCTAAGATTACATGTGTGCACTAAGAAAGAAAGAAAGAATCATACACTTTGCATTAGTAAAAACAAAATTTAAATAATTTGTATTAATTATGTAATTTTCACCCTTAAAAAGGTTATTGGAAAGTAATTTGTAATATTTCTCAGACTTCTGAAGCTCATAAATATTATAATTTCCACTCACATAAAAGTTTTAAAAAATCAGTTTTTAAAAAGTATGAATATGATCATGCCATGACTGATTAACCAGCCCTAGAGGTTGTTTCCAAATATTCACTACTATAAACAATACTGCACTTAACATCTTCACCTATGAAATCTTTGTATACTCGTAAAATTATTTCCTAGGTGGAATGAGAGGCTCAAAAGACATTTAGTATTTATTGTAATTTGTACTTTTATTACATTATTTTTAAATAAAAGTAGAGCAGAACAACACCAATCTATATATGCATCATTTAAGCTTAATAATTCACTGATACTGCATACCTTGTTCTACAATAGCATAATCTGAAAATTTTGGCACACAGCTAAGCTTATATAAGTCTATAATTCATACAATAAACAACAAAAATACTAAGAATTTCATTTTTGCTGACATAAAAAGATGACATTAAAAATAATTAGAGTAACTAAAATTGGAAAAGGATATTTCAAAATAGCTTAGCATTTGCTAAGGGAGTGGGTAGGAAAAACAAACTCTTGTACCAATTCACCAACTTCTCAGACCATCATTGAGTTCCTTTATAATTTCCTCTTACAATTAATTGAAATTTTATTTTAATATGCTCTTTAGTAACTGTGTTTACAGTTGGGCACAATTTTTTTTTAAATTTTATTTATTTTTAATTATTTTATATATTTTTACATAATTTTTAAATTGTTTTTTTAAAAAAATTTTTATTTTCTACATCATTGTTCATTTTTCAACAATATTTGCTTCCCCCCATTCCCTCAGGTGTAGTCCCCATAGAATACACTTCACCAATGTACCCGTGCACTGTCACCACAGTCCCCTGTGCTCCTCGCTCCCTCTGATCCCTCTCTCTCCTCCTCCCCTGTAGTATGTCTCTGATTTATAACTGTCTGCTTTTACTTTGCTGTGTTTTGTATTGTTATTATTTTTTTACACTGATGTCTTATTTGGTTTCCCTATATTCCTGCTATGAGTAAAACCATCTGATTTTTTGTTCCTTCTGACTTAATTCACTGAGCATAATTCTTTCTAGCTCCATCCACATTGCTACGAATGGCATGAGTTTATCTTTTTTGATTGCTTAATAATATTCCATTGTGTATATATACCACATCTTCTTGATCCAGTCATCTATTTTTTTGGGCATTTGAGTTGTTTCCAGGTTTTACCTATTGCAAATAGTAGCACAAAATATTTACACAATTCAACAACTAGCACTTGTATGAAAAGATACATAAAGACTAAAAGAACAAAACATTTCTACACTTAAAAAAAAAAAATCCTGTTACGTCACCAACAAGGCGGTGAAGGGACCAAGGACTAAATTCTCCTGTAAAAACAACCGATAAGGGAGAGACTGTGGCAAGTTCCTGGCAGGACCCAGACATTTCAGACAGCGTTGGTGACCCAACAGAAGCAGGGGGAAGGTGAGAGTTGGGAGTGTGGAAAGAGACATCGATCCAGATCCCCTCTCCCCTCGTCCACCCACAAAGCTGAAAAGGAGGAGATAAAGTTTGTCAACAACAGAAAAACCCTGAGTCATCCTTGAATGTCAGAAGGTGACAGGTGGGCAGATGGGGCCTGGGGCAAGCACAGTACCAAGCATGAGCCAGTATTGGGATGATCCCCTCCACCACCCCTCCATTTCCCGGAGACCTGCCCAGAAGCACAGTTCTGAAAGTTTACTAGGAAATGCCTCTGTCACCACCTAGTGATCAGAACAAAATCACTAACTACCTGATAGTTGAAAGTGAGGGATTTCAAGATACACCCTTGGGCCCTGAGAAAGGGTGGCTATATATATACGGGGTTAGTAAGGAAACAAACACGCGGACAGAGACTGCTGAAGGCCCCAAGAGACCCCCACATTTTGGAATGGAGAGCCGGCTTGGGATGAGGGCACGGGACCCGCCATAACTGCAGGCACTGCATGGTGTGACCGCCCGTGTTCCAGATCTGAGAGCCTTGGAACTGAGAGCCAAGGCACCAAGTTGTGTGGGATCTGCACAACTGTAGGCACTACACTGGGAGAGCATGGGGCAAATCACCAACTACCTGATTGTTGGAAGGCATAGACTACAAGATTCCCTTCTGGAACTGAGTAAATACAGAGGGAGGAAATCTTAAGGGACAGTGCCAAGCAACATAGCCACAGAATCAACACCGTGGTAGAATTTTGGCTAACAGTACTGGACCCAGTCTGGTAAACAGTTTCCCACACCCCGGAAGGAGCACCCCAAAGAGATGCCCGCAACCACCAGTGGCAAAACATACCATCGCATAGAACTAATTAGAAAGCAAACAGGGAGAAGGAAAAATACAAATTACCAAGCAAGCCCTCAGGGAAAGGACACATTGCAAAAAGAAAATCAGCCACCAGAACCCAACAACAACGACATGGAAGAACTTCTCTGCCAGCCAGATAGAGAATTTAAAATCTTCATGACTAAAAAGTATAAAGAAGATGAAAAGGAAAAGAATGAATGAGAAAAATAATTAATGAACTGAAGAATGAAATTAAGTTCCTAAAGATGGAAATGAAAGAAATGCAGGAGATCAAAAGATTACTGGAGGAGATAAAGAACTCTGGGAAAAACAATGAAAACAGAATGAATGAAATGGAAGAACGGATCAATACTCGAAGATACAGAAATAAAAAGAACTAAAAAGAAAAGGAAAGAGAAGTACAAAGGAAAAAGAATGAAGAAACACTTCAAGAATTATCTGACATCATGAAGAAAGGAAATATATGAGTTATAGAAATCCCAGAGGGTGAGGAGAGAGACAAAGGCACTGAATAATTCAAGGAGTTAATCAAAGAGAACTTACCAAACATGAAAAAGGAGATGCATATAGACATACAAGAAGTGAGAAGAACACCAAATTACCACAATGAAAGAAAAACTACAGCAAGACATATAATAATAAAGCTCGCAAGAGTCCAAGACAAGGGAAAAATAATGAAACTGACAAGGGAGAAGAAAGAGATAACTTATAAAGGAAAACCAATCAGGCTGCCATCAGACGTCTACAAAGAAACACTACAGGCAAGAAGAGAATGGACTGACATATTCAACAAACTTCAAGATAGCAAATGCCAACCAATAATACTTTACCGTGCAAAGCTCTCCTTCCTCTATGAAGAAAAAATAAGTGCTTTCTCAAAAAAAGCAGAAACTCCAGAAATTCATTACAACTAAACCCCCACTCCAAAAAATTCTACAAGAAGTCCTAAAGCCAAAAGCAACTGAAAAATGAATAAGAAGAACAGAATAAAGCAAGGAATAAAATCACAAAAAGACAAACAAAATGGCAACTACAGACGCCAACATATCAATATCAACTCTAAATGTATCAATATTAACTCTAAATGTAAATGGACTAAACTCATCAATAAAAAGACACAGAGTAGCAGGTTGGATTCAAAAACAAAATCCAACCTTCTGCTGTCTCCAGGAAACACATTCAACTACAAAAGATAAACACAGACTGAAAGTAAAGGTTGCAAAACAATCCTACAAGCAAATGGACCCAAAAAGAAGGCAGGAACAGCTATACTTAAAACAGATGAAATAGACTTCAAATTAAAAAAGGTAAAAAGAGACAAAGACGGACATTATATTATAATCAAGGGGACAATACATCAGGAAGATATAACAATCATTAACATATACTCACCAAATGAAGGAGCACCAAAATACATTAGACAATTACTATCAGCTCTTAAAACAGACATTAAAGAAAATACATACATAGTAGGAGACGTGAGCACCCCACACCCACCCCACTCTCACTCTCACTCTCTCAGATCAATGAGACAAAAAATAAACAAAGACACTAGAGTCCTAAAAAAGATATAGAACCCATGTACTTAACAAACATCTATAGGACAATGCACCCCAAAAATTCTAAGTGCACATTTTTCTCAAGTGTGCATGGATCATTCTCCAAAATTGATCACATACTGGGCCACCAGACAAACATCAACAGATAAATGAAGATCAAAATCATTGCACTATGTTCTCTGATCGTAAAGGCATCAAACTAGAAATAAATCATGAAAAGAAAGCAAGGAACCCTACCACTTCATGGAGATTGAAACCCACACTACTGTAAGACAGCTGGACTAAAGAGAAGATCAAAGAAGAAATTAAAAAATACTTTGAGTTGAATGAGTAGGAAGACACCAAGTTCCTAAATGTATGGGATGCAGTAAAAGCAGTAATAAGGGGAAAATACAGCAATACAGGCTCACATCAAGTAACAAGAAAGAACTCAAAGAAACAACCTAATCTCACATGTTAAAGAACTAGAAAAAGAAAAATAGGGCCTCCCCAGTGGCCCAGCAGTTGAGCGCTGGGCTGAGAAGCTGTCTGCAGCCTCTGCAGCGCCGGTTCAACAATCCCGCGATCCCTGACCGGCCAACCAGAGTCCCACATGGCGCGCAGACCTCTCCTGCCGCACCCGCTGCTCCCCTCAGCAATGTATTTCATCAGTCTGCCTGTTCTGTTCCCCACTCTGGCTCTGGTGAATTCTCTCACCCTCCTGCGCTTCTGACTGTACCCAGTGCTTGTATAAATAAATAAATAAATCTTTAAAAAAAAAAAAAAACCCTAAAACCAGCAGAAGAAAGGAAATAATAAAAATAAAGCAGAAATAAATGAAATAGAAACTAAAAAAACAATCCAAAGGATCAATGAAACCAAAAGTTGGTTATTCGAAAAGATAAATAAAATAGACAAACCCCACAAAGGAAAAACGGGAGAGCACAAAACAAACTAGGCATACCACCTGCAAGCCGAGAGCTGTGGTACAGGAGGGCAAGCCAAGTGAGCCCCCTAATGACCAACAAAAGGAGGAGCAAGAGACAGGCAGGCCCTGCATTTGCAGGCCTGAGACCTCATGAATTTGGACTTCAATTTCACTTCTTATAATGTGGTAGCTAAAAAAGAAGTTAGTCTTAATTCTTTTCAAGATTTTATCCAGCTGTGACATCCTAAAGCTAAACTATCAGGTCTAGCATTCATTTTGAAAGAGGAAAGGTAAATTCTGTCCCCCTTAAAATAAAACAAATGGTTTGTACCATTTGTACAAAAAGAATCGGCATCAAAAAGAATAGGCATGGTTCCTTCTGTCGCCTATAAATCCCACATGCAAATGTCAGTCACTCTTGTGTTGGCATTCTGGTGAGTTACTAAGGAGTGCTAAAAGTGACTGCTGTGCACTATAACATTTCTCCTGCAAGAACAGATTTGACTGGTCTGAAATTATTTCTGTTTATGGCTTTGGCTGTGCACTAGTAAGACCAGATTTACAGGGCATGTGGAATTTTCCTACTCACAGGAACAGAAATTGGGGCTGGAGATGTGGGTGGAGTGGGGTTCCTGTTTCTGCCTCTCTCCAACCCAAATGGTAATGTAACGATTTCTCTTGCTTTCCCTTACTTTCTCCTGTCAACTTCCTCTACTTACTCTCCTTATCACTAACTGAGTCCCCTCACTGCACAATGTCTAGTATACACTTCTTATGAAATTTGCAAATACCTGAGGATTTAACAACAGGGTAAACTTTCCACCATTTTCCTTAATGTCAGTTTGTAGCTTTTTCTTCAGATGACGAGGTAAGTGCTTGACTTTCAAATAGAAGATACAATTTGCAAAAATTCCTATGGCCATCCTGTAGAAAAAGTTCAAGTTATATAGATTTTAATGATTCTCTTTTCAGTGAAGTAAACTGGCAGTGAATTTAGAATTGCTTTACAAACAAACTGTGGGATAATAAGGCGTTATTTTTTTTTTAAGATACCACAATCATGTTATAATCACAAACACTGAACATTTTCCAAGCTTGCAATATGTTGGTTTTAGAATGACTTCAGCTTTATAGTTAATAATTTGACACCCAAAAATCCCTTCATATACTCAAAATATACATCTTAATAAAAACACGACAGACTTGAGTTACAGACACAGTATACAAAAATGGAAGAATTTACTTCTAAATTTGAAAATATTATGTGATAATAAAATCATGGATTTTTAATATATGTAATTCTATAAATTCAGAGACCCACTCGTTATGTGGTTTCTGTTAAGCCATTTGTGAGAAAACGTGAACAATTAGTAATAAAAATGTACAATTTATATTTTAATGGATTGAAAGATATATAGCTATAAATTGCAAGTTTATATGTATATAATGACATTTGAAATTAATTTCTTTTACTGTCACACATTCCCACATATAGAAGAATTCTAAGAAAGAAAAGCATAGCTTGAATTGAAAGAAATGTTATGTGTATTTAACAAGAAACAAATGACATTAGGTTTAATTTAATATGACTTATCAATTTTTAAAAACTGGAATTATGTCTGACAGTGTGTTAACGCTGGGTAAAAAGTCATCCCTTGGGCTGATGTTCATATCCATGAAAGTTGCCCCCTCTGCCTCTAATCTCCTTCCTATATTATAATTTGAGTATAATTTTTTTTTAAATTACATTTCAAATGAAATTAAAATTTCTTATCAGGGTCAAGGCCTGGCCTCTCTCTTTAGTTCTACTTTCCCATTCCACTCTGCATTTTTCTTTAGGGTGTGAAAAACCCCAAGCTTGGACCTAAGCATCTTCACACATGGAACCTTCCTCCTCCGGATCCCCTCCCCACACTTGTACACCCAACCCAGGACCTAGAAGTATCTGTCTAATGAATGAAGAAATTAGCGGGTTATATTTTTTTCTTATGAGGTTTGGTTAAACTTAAGTCCCTTGATTTAACCCCTCCTTTCAATAACATTAACACTTCTAATTTCACATTTGTTTATTGTATTTTACATTTAAGTTGATTCATAACTAGCATTTGCAGATGGGAATGATGATGATGTATATTATGAAAGATTAGACCACACCACTTAGATTAATCTATTTTGACCTTAATCTCCAACAGTCAAAAAAAAAAAAAAAAAACACTCTAAAGAATCACTTGACAATTTCCAGGACAATCTTTGTACAATCCCTGCCTCTACAGAATAAGCCAGGCTGAAGGACCTGGGAATTCAGCTAATGGAAAAGCAGCTCATGCTCATCTTAGGCAATCTAGAACATAAAGAACTGCATAACAATTGCAAAATATTTTCAAAACATGGCAGCCCATGTTAACAACTTGTTTTGCTTTTTTATCCCAGGCTTTTTTCTAGGTATACATACTATAAAGGACTATATTGTTATCAAAATTAAAATCACACTATATTCACAATACCAAATCTTGCATTTTATGTCAGCATCTTAACATTAAACATCTTGGAAAACAATTTTAATAGAAGTAAAGGGTTCAAAACTAGTCTCCCCTAAATGGCTATTTTGGCATATGGATTATTTTGAGTGAAGGTAAGTAAGATATAGCAGATTCAAAAACGAACTTTTACCACTCTCATTTCCATAAAGGGCCTGCTCAGAATGAGAGTTATTATCAAAAATAAATTTTTTTGTGATCTATCAGTACAGAAGAGGAAATACCTGATTACATCAAATAACATCTGCCCTGCTTATTTCCTGTGAATTAATTACCCTCTTTCCCTTTGAAGAGCCAGGCCCCCAGCCCATTCCTTGGCTCAAGATAGCATAGAAAACTTTCTTTTATCTGACTGCTTTTGGTCACTCACCTCTAGATGGACTCCCACATATATATGAAATTAGTTTTTCTCCCTTTAATCTCTCTTGTCAATTTAATAGTTTAACAAGTCTGCAGAACCTTAGAGGGCAGAGTTGAACAGTTGAGTGCTCTGTTTCTCTAGAAGGTGAGCGGGACAGTGATCCCTTCGTGAGTCACTCAGCAGGAATTATTTAACTGATTTCAAGGTTGTCAACTTTGAACTTGGTACACACACTGAGAGTTTCTATGACAGTGTCACTAGTTAAACACAGGTCAAACTGCATTCCCTGGCTATGCACCAAAATTCTGTACTTTTTCAAATGTTTCCTTTGAAACCTAACTTTCAGAAGGTGAGCAGGATATTCGGCAGATGGAAATAAGGGCCCCTGCATTCTACCGACATCTCCTTACCTTCCCCAGCACCGCAGGCCCTGGAGACCCGGGTCCGCGCGCGCGGGTTCCCCAGAGACCAGCGCCGGGTCGCTCGGCGGGTGACGCGCGGGAGGGCGCGCCCACGTCCCCAGGGGGCAGGGGCCACGGCGCGTCGGGGGCCCGCAGGAGCCGTCGCAGCGGTGAGGACCCCGCACGGCCCGCAGAGACCCAGCGGGTCTGAGCCGCTCCGCTAGGAGCCGAGGCGCCCGCCTCCCGGCCGGAAAACTGGAGCCCCGGGTGCCCACCCGCCCGAGCCCAGCCGGTTCCGCCCCTCCGCAGCGCCCCCTCACCTGCGAGGCTGTGCGCCCCCACCGGCGCCGGGGTCTCTGGCAACCCTGCTCCGGAAAGTCGGCGGTCCTGGGTGTGGACGCTGCCTTCTCCAGGCGTCGGAGCCCGAGCACACGGAATTCCGGGCGGCTGACGCCCGTGGGGTGCGGGTGCTTCCGGATTCTGGGCGCAGCCGCGGGCCGGGCGGCTGGGCGGTGCTGGGAGCGCGGCCGGGAGCCTCCTCAGGCCGCGCCCTGCCGGAGGCCGGGGCAGCCCCAGGACACTCCGCGCTGGGCTTGAAGCCGCACTAAGAACCGAATTTCTTCCAGCATTAACTCAAGATTCAGGCTTTTCCCCAGTTTCATCTTTCGGGCAGGATTTGACTAAAGAAGCTAACTCCAAAGTTGGAGTTTGGGAAAAGAAGATGGATGTTGCAATTGAGGGATAAGGATAAATGCTTAAAGCAAAAAAGCACATTTCTGGAGGGCTTGGAATTGTGGAAACAGGACAGTAAGTGTTAAGTTAAAAAATCCAGCTGAGTAAATTTAAAGATCTTACTTCATTTGGGCTTGTTCTCTCACTTTTTAATACAAAGATAGTGAATTTGGTTTGGAATTTCATGACTTTGAAGTTTGTGGCAGTGTTACTAATCAGTTAGAAATTTGTATCTGCCATATTAGAGGATTGTGACCTGGATTCCTTGAGTAGAGGATAAATGGGAAAGAATACGGAATAAGATAACAGAAAAGATGTAGAATGAGTATGGATTTGAATCGTGACGCTTCTATTTTATTACCCAAGGGACTCAGGACAGGGTAGTTTTCTGGGGCCCTCAGTTCATCGTGACTATCTTTTTTCTTTTTCTTTCTTTCTTTTTTTTTTTTTACATCATTGTTCATGTTCATCGTTAACTGTCTTAAGGGTTGTGTAAGAATCAATTTGGGTGATAGCAACAAAAATGGTACTGATGTCATTTTTGTGGAGTTGCGGGTCCTTGGGTTTACTCTGGGAAAGGTGTCGCCAGAGCTCCAGTTTCAGCGGCCCGAGGTTAGTTTCTCCACAAGGCAGAGACGGTAGTGATTTTGAAGGACAAGTTTATTAGATAAGGGATAGGATAGTAAAAGACACTTGCATAGACACAAGGTGGCAGGAAGAGCTGCCCCTTAATGGGGGGCAGCGTGAGGTTTTATCCTCTTCTTTTGGTGGGGAGGGGCTCATCTTTGTGAGTGGTCAGATTGTTAGATTTGCCCATTTTGGACAACTATTCAAAATCAGGAAGGGACAGGAGATTCCAGGGTGAGCCCAATCTCTCTATCTTTACCATGAGGTCTGTGCACCACTCCCTATAGCAGCCTGATCTAGCTTGGGCCTTATGACTTGTGATAAGGCACTGGTGCCTAAGGGTAACGACCTCTAAGTTAGGTTAATGGCCCTGTTATTTTTCTTCTACCCCCACCTCCTTGTGAGTCAGGTTCTGGTTGGGGCACCTCCTTTCCAGTCTTTCTATTCTGGTCCTCCATCAGTACAGTAGGGAGCCCAAGGGTCCATTCTTAACAAAACATTTTTACAAACCTGACAAAACAAATCAGAAACTACCTTACTAGAACCAAACACAGTCCAAGTTACAGCAAATAAGTAAATGTGTAGCCAGGAGAGAGCACTAAAACAAGGAAGGAGAGCTTTGGTGGTGTTTTAACTACCTCAACTCCACTTCCCTTGCCAACTCATTCCCAGAGTGATAACATGGTCCTGAGGGAGCCCAACAAACCTTGTCCCTCCGAACTGTGTTTTTGTGTGTGTCAGGGATGGGATGTGGGGGAGGGGTTGATTGATGGGACTTTTGTTTTCTCTACCCCAAACTCTGTCAAGAAAGGAAAATAGCTGCTTAACTATGTACCTCAAAAACATTGAAAGGCAAATGAGCAAACTCCTTCTTCTTGGGGCAAAAAATAACAATTGGGTGGAAAACAAATGGGCTTAATTAAGGTCTTGTAGGAAAAGTATGAGAGGAAAAGCCAGTAGTGAATTTTTTTTTTTTTTTTAGATTTTTTTTTTTTTTAGAGGCATGCTTTATTTATTTATTTATTTTATTTGTTCGTTTGTTTTTTTTGTTTGTTTGTTTATACATGCACTGGGTACAGTCAGAAGCGTGGGAGGGCGAGAGAATTCGCCAGAGCCAGAGCGGGGAGCAGAGCAGACAGAAGGACCGAAGTACACTGCTGAGGGGAGCAGCGGGCGGCAGGAGAGGCCTGCGCGCCATGTGGGACCCTCCTCTGGTGGCCGGGGAGCAGCCGGGGATCGAACCGGCACCGCAGAGGCTGCGGGCAGCTTCGCAACCCAGCGCTCAACCGCTGCGCCACCGGGGAGGCCCTTTTTTTTTTCTTTTGAGGATTAAAACAGAGACTTCAGAGACCTCAGACAACAAAAAGTACAGTCTTTATAGTCACAAAACGAATAAACAACTATAATCCATGGCAAGCAACAAGAAATTTGGGGGAAGAGAGAGAATCTGATTTCCAGAGTTACTGTTACAGGGCAGCCCCGATACAAAATGGGTTGCCTGACTGTGGGTCCTCACCTGCATGCTTAAAAGGACTTAGCAATACTCTACTGCAGGCACACAGGAAAGATTAATAAAAAGTTTATTTACAAGGGAAGGGAAAATGAGGAAATGTACAACTCAGAGAGAAAAGTGGGAGACAAAATTTTACATGCGTCCTACCTGATCTGCAGATCTGGAATCCCAAATGGCACTCTGAGAGCTGGCCGCAAGCCAGGAGCCATGAACCCAGGAAGCAAGTGAGAGAGCGAGCCCCCCAAGGCCCACGTGTCTGGTTTTTATACCAAACCTGGCTGCTTAACTCCACCCTCAGGTCCCAGCAGCCTTCCCTTTGGTGGTAACGGTATTCGTCTTTCCCAATGTCTTCATGGCTTTGGTCTGGAGTGGGGGTGGAGTCCACAAAGCCTGCATGAAATGAGCTCAGGACATCCTTTCCCCTAACATTACCAGTTCAAAACACTCAGAATATCCAGATTTCAACAAATTTGTGAGGCATGTAAAGAAACATGAAAAGATGGCTTATTCATGGAAAATTAATAATATAGTTAATTAATACAATAGTGTAAATAATAACTATCCCTGAAAAAGCACACAGGACATGTTAGACAAATGTTTTAAATTAGCTATCTTAAAAATGCAGAAAGAGTTTATTTTTCTTTATTAAAGATTTATTTATTTATCCATACATACAAGAACCGGGGTACATGAGAGTGATACCGGAATTGTCAGGCCTAGTCTCCCAGCCAGGAACGGATTCCAGGCTGCAGGGCAGCGCTGAGTCCCAGCCACTAGACCCCCATGGGTTGGTGTCTCACGAAGCCGCAGCAGGAACTTCGCAGACGCTCAGGCAAGCAAGCGAGAAGAGGCAGTTTGTTTAGAAAAAGAAAAAGTTTATTGAGGAGAAAAAGAACAGAAATAAAGTGGGACTCCCAGGCCAGGGAACCAGGCCTGGGAGGGGCAAGGAAGCCAAAGTAGAGTCGTGTCTTAGGGAATATATACCTTTTTTCCCTCATTATTCTAAAGCTGCCCCAGTCTCTTTGTGATTGGTCAGTTCTCGCCTGTCTCACTCAATTTGCTACTGAGTGGGGATCTTCACATTCCTTATCTAACAGCTTTCTCTTTCCCCATTTGTTGCATCTTTAAATTTATGGCCCAGTCTTCTGGATGGGCATCCCTGCATTGAAGTTAAACAGCTGCCCTTTTAATGTGACCATAAATTAAACCACTCTCCATTTCTCCAATCTCCGCCTCCCTTTACCACATGAAGGAAACCAGGACCAGCATTAACAATGTTGTCCTTGGTCCTGGCATGTTTGTTTTTCCTAATGGAATTAGTTATATTTCTTTGGTTGTCCTTATCTCTGAAGCCTCCCTAAATTCTTCAGAGGTCCCCTCCTGCACTGTCCCTAAAACTGCCTAATAACCCTAGCTTGCCCTGTCTCAAGAGGATTCACCAGAGACAGAGTGGGGACCAGAACAGGCAGATCTACCGAAATACACTGCTGAGGGGAGCAGTGGGCGAGACAGGAGAGGTCTGCCGCGCCATGTGGGACCCTCGCCAGCTGGCTGGGATCCAACTGGCTGGCGTTGCAGAGGCTATGGACAGCTCCACAGCGCAGCGCTCAACTGCCTGAGCCACCAGGGGAGGCCCCTGCAGAAAGAGTTTGAAAGGTCTGAATCGGAGGGCAAGTTAGGGTAATTAAGCAGTTTTAGGGACATTGCAGGAGGGGACCTCTGAAGAGTTTAGGAAGGCTTCAGAGATAAGGACAACTCGAGTAATGTGTTAACTCTGGCCTTGGTTTCCTTCAGGTGATAAAGGATGATGGAGTTTGGGAAACGGAGAGTGGTTTAATTAGGGCAGCAGCCTCATTTATGCAAGGAGGAGATGAGAAGGGGTCAGCACTAAGACTGGTGGGCGGCAGCCTGTTTTTCTTCAATAGCTGATGTTTAACTTTCTCTGAAATGCAGGGGTGCTCATCTGGGAGACTGGGCCATAAAGATAAATCTATCAAACAAGGGGTGCAACAAATGGGGAAAGACAAACCTGTTAGATAAGGAATGTGAAGATCCCCTGCTCAGTAGCAGATTAAGTGAGACAGCAGAGAACTAAATAATCACAAAGAGACTGGTGGAGCTTTAAAATAATGAGGGAAAAAAGGTATATATTCCCTGAGACACGACTCCACTTTGGCTTCTGTAGGGTAAAGAGAATGTCAGGCTTTTCTGCCCTTCCGCCATCAGGATAGATGATGGATCCTTGTCCTGAATGCATGCCTGATGGCGGGCACCTGGAATAGGGTGTGGGCATAGGAAGATGGGATTCAGCTGAGCTAGGACTGTGCTTTTAAGGGCGGCGTCACGGGAGGATGCCAGCAGCACCAGTAGCAGCAGTAGAAGCTGAAGCAGCAGTAGAAGCCGAAGCCGAAAGAGAAGCCGAGAAGCAGCAGAACGAACTCCAGAGAGCTCAGATAGAGTGAAGACTTGCTGGGGGCTGGGAGGCTGGCAGGCTGCAGGCTACCCAGCCAGCACCCATGCCTGCCATATGCCTGGTGAACCCCAATAAAAGACCTGCAAAAACCCACTAAGGACTCTGA